CAAGTGAGAAGCAAGCCTTCATGTGGCCTCATGTCCCTTCTTTTCTTCCTCTGTGTATTCTGTTTCTTCTGTTAAATTGTCTAATGGGTCATAAATCACAGTGAAGGGTAGCTCGCAACCCTTTCACTCCCACATGTTTCTAGTGGTGACATATCCTCCAGACTGGGTTTTTTGTTTACAAGTGCTTGAAATTTTAGTATTTTTCTCACAGAGATATTGGGTTTTCGGACTTTATCCATCATCCTGGTTTTTAAGATAACTAAGAAAAAGTCGGACTCTGGATCTGTTTCTGTCCTCAGGTTTCCAAAACGTCGTGTTTTTCTTAGTTATCTTAAAAACCAGGACAATGGATAAAGTCCAAAAACCCAATATCTCTGTGTGTTATACACCATCGTCAGAATCCTATAGTAACTATTAGTATTTTTCTTTTTATTCCCTCTGCCTGCATATTCTTTGAACATACACAGATCTTCAAATCTTCACAGAACACATAACACAAGTGTATTCAGCATTGATATGAAAAAAAAAGAAATATAGCTGAAAACAAATATATTGAGGGGTGGATGAATGAACACAATATATATATATATATCCATGTGCTTGGGGTTGATTCCAAAAGGGCTGGATTTTTTTTATTATTTTTTAAATTTTTGGAATGTTTGTATTATGAACTTAACAGAGGCTTATCTGCCTAATTCTGCTTTGTGGCGAAATTACAGATGATGGTTTAAAGTCAAAAGATGATTGCTGGACAAGAAATGAACTGATAATACATTGAATGAAATTATATTAAGGAACATTTTAACTTTTTTTGTTTGAAAATATTGTAATGCAATAAAGACTGTAATCTGGAGATAAACACACAGGAAACACTGAGCATATTTCATGTCTCATAACTAAAACGCATTATATATTTGCTGTGATATGTCTAGGAGTTCTCTACGCTGGTCTCATGTTAACAAAGGATGGCCCCAAAGTCCTGGAATTCAACTGCAGATTTGGAGATCCCGAGACTGAGGTCGTACTGGCCTTGCTGGAGTCAAACTTATACAGAATCATGTTGGTAAGATATGTAACAAGAAGGTTATGTTATAAAATAGTGCTGACATATATGCCCACCAGAGCATTGTCTTCTGCACCGTCAGATGACTTCATTCAAAAGTGCAACTTGCAAGAAGTCAGAAAATGGTGATGAATCAATTGTGTATTTTGTAAGTGAAAGTGACTTTTAGTTCTTTGAAACACAGTGGTTAATGTATGTACCACATGTCTTGGTATTGAGAAATTATGTATTCTGCCCACACAGTGTATTTGCATGTTCTGTATGATTCTCACAGGAAATGACAGTTATTTCCCTAAACAGCATTAACTGATCTGTCGCTCTTCTGGAGATGAAATTTATTTCCTGTGAGGTAGGGACTGGATTTGTGTATATAGTGAAGATGAAACTTTTACCTTCATAGGGTTAACTCTAAACCAAATATTGTGGTTTGTTCATAAAGTATTTCTCTTCTCGTGCTGTTGTGTAGAAAACTGACATTCTGTATTGTAGGCATGCTGTAAAGGTGAACTTGACAACGAAGTGCTCCGGTGGCGACAAGGTGCCTATGCTGTTGGTGTGGTGATAGCGAGCAGGGGCTATCCTGAGTCATCATCTAAAGGCAATGTCATAACAGGTAAAGCAATACTCCTAGCGATTTTCAGTTTAACGCAGTAAATATAGGCCATTCATATTTAAAATTTTTAAGAAAATATTTTTTTAATATTGTCATTGATTAAAGCATGAAACAGAGTTCACCTTGAAAAGGTACTCAAGACATTCCTCATCACTGGTCCCTGTCCTGAATCCATTCTACATAGTCGCACGTCATTTCTGTAAGGTACATTTTAATATTATCCTCCCATACATATATAGATCTTCCAAGTGATCTATTTCCTTCAACTTTTCCAATCAAGATTAAAAAACCTAATTCAGCAACTACCCAACACAAAATGTTTCCTGTCTGATATGTACAGGAATGACTTGGCTGTCCATCAGTAACGATGTTTTGTGTAACAAACATGAAGTTTGCAACTTGCTATTTTGTAAAGCCTGAATGTTGCTTGTTAAAGCACCTGATGCTGTTTATTTTTCACCGGTTATGTGCCCCCTGTTGGCAGGAGAAAGTAACCACATGAAGTGCTGTGGTTTCAGGAATGGACTAAGTTGTGTCTCCAAGCTTCAGTTATGCAGAAAATAAATTAAAAATGTATAAGTAAAAGTCTAATATTGTGACTGACAGCATACAGGCAGTGTGGCCCATAATGTTGACTGCTATCTTGAGATTTGAGATACGTTACTGAGATCTGTTTCTCTCGAACACTTTGTGTAGATTAGATCTAATACAGAACTGTAACACGCCTGTTTCCTGCTGTCAGATGAACAGGGAACAGCCATGGATAGTATCTGATTTGCTTCATACTCTTACCGCTGTGCATGACAGACATGGCTCTTGCATTGATGTGCGCACTGAAGTAGAGTTTTTATGCAATTTTAATCCTTGTCTGCAGTCTCTCCCTTTCTCGCTTCATCCCCCCCCCATTTTTACAGGAGTAAACTTCAGTTCCTCAATTTAAGTGCCATTCCTTTGAAATTTCACCTTCTGTGTACTGTGATATTGACGAGGAGAGTGCCTGTATCCCGGTTGAAGAATGGACATGTGCAGTGTGCAGTAACATAAATAGACGTCTGCTGATGTGTATCCAGACTTCTGGCTTACTTCTCTGTATGTTAAATAGGTCATGAGGTGATTTCAAGATGGCCTGAACATCTGGTGTTCCACAGCGGGACAAGTGTATTGGCCAATGGAGATCTGGTTACAAATGGTGGGAGAGTACTGGTTGTTGTTACCATAGCAAGCGAGTTGATGTTAGCGGCTGCAAAGGCAACCAAAGCTTGTGGAAAAATTGTTTTTGATGGGGCCCAGTACAGGACAGACATAGCTCATAAAGGAATTGTCAGGTGAGGTCACCATACGAGTACCCTGCAGCACAACCCAGGTATCGGTGTGAAAAGAAATCCAGTGCTTATGTATCGTTTTGCAGATCATTGCTTCAGGAAGGCCGGTTGTCCTACAAGGCCAGTGGTGTGGATATTGAAGCAGGAGGCACTCTGGTTAGTAGAATTAAACGTACAGTAGAGCTGACAAACCGTAATGGAGTCCTCAGTTCAATTGGTGGCTTTGGAGGTGTGTTTGACACGAAGGCTGCTGGCTACAAGGACCCTCTCCTCGTTTCGGGCACCGACGGGGTTGGCACGAAACTCAAGGTGAGCAACTTTCGGAGAGTGATACCATGTAGTCTGGTAGAAGTTTACTGGCAGTTTAGAGGAACATTTTGCCCTCCATCTTCATGGTCAAAAGCAAGCGAAGCAAGCAGAGCAGTGTTTCATGAGAACATTACTGGTACATGAATATTACTTGGTTATTTATCTGTGGCTGTAGTTACATGCTGGCTTCTCACTATAGAGCCTTGGGTTCAGTTCCAGGTGACTTCATGTGATATCCATGGTAGTTCAAGAGGTACTGATGCAGGACTTCATCCAAATTTCTTTGCTTTTCTCTTGATGATCATTCAACCATTGCTTCATTCTCATATATCACATCCTCTGAGGTGTGCATCAGCCATAAACAGGCAGCACACTCATATCCTCAGGTGTTTAAGTTTGTGGCTTAACCTGTGACCCCGCAATTGGCTTGTCACAATACATTTCCAGATTGCTCAGGCCTGTGGACTGCACTCTACAGTGGGCATTGATTTGGTGGCTATGTGTGTCAATGACATCTTGGCCCACGGAGCAGAGCCACTGTTCTTCCTCGACTACTTGGCGTGTGGGATCCTGAATGTGGATGTTGCCAGCCAGGTGGTGGCTGGAGTGGTTGAAGGTTGCCAGGAGGCAGGCTGTGCTCTGATTGGTAAGTTGATGAAGTTGCAGTAACACCACAGCTTCATACTGGAGAGGTCCTGGCTGCAAATCTCATCCCAGTTGTCCTGACTGAGGTTTGTCTTGGTTTTCTTCAGTGCCTCGAAGCAGATGTTGAGATAGTACCTTAAATTCATCCCACTGCATATTTCCATTTCATGATACACTTAGAGTCCTCTCCCATCTGGTGTTATGAAGTAAGAGAAATTGAGGCCATCAGTAAATGGACTCAGAATGCAAGATAAATAACCTTTGTTGTGCATGTGGCAAGACAGTACTTGCAGTAATCATTCAGTTCTTCTTTTTCTACTTTAAAGTAAAGCAAATAAAAAGTTATGTCTCTTCTCAGACTAGAGTTTGTCACAGTGCAGCGCAAGTTGCTTGCCATCTTCCCTCACACAAGTTACAAGTCTGCGCTTGTAGTAAACTTGAAGGAGTTGCATGCTTGGTCTTTCTAATCACTAATTCAGTGTTGATTCAGAAATATATAAAAGTATTCATTCACGCAATGTGTGCTGTCTCGTCACTTTCGGCATGGCGAGCGACATACTTCAGCATATACATGGCATCTGCAGGCCCTCATACTTGAAATATATACATAAACATGTGTATTGTGGAGGAATATATGTGATATATGTAGAATTTTACATAATGGATCCATTATCCTGTTCATATTAAGCACAAAAAGTTATTCTTGCATGTAATATTAAAAAAGTATAGTAATTTTCAGTGATATTTAGCTACAGTATGAAGTCCAGTTTAAGCTGCAAGGAACTCTGCTGGGAATTCTGGGAACTGCACTGTGGACTGAAGCCACGAAGGTGTACATATGTGTGTATGTTATGTTGGCCCCAGGTGGAGAGACAGCCGAGATGCCTGGGATGTATGCTGTGGGCGACTATGACTTGGCAGGTTTTGCTGTGGGTGCTGTTGAGAGATCTAGGCTCCTTCCCAACACAGAGAAGATTCAAGCGGGAGATGTTGTCATTGCACTGACGTCTAGCGGTGTTCATAGCAATGGCTTTAGTCTCATTCGCAAGATTGTGGAGAAATATGGTGCTCAGTATTCTGATCCAGCCCCTTTCAGCGAATCTGGAAAATCTTTAGGTAATACAAGTTTATGTAAGGGGATAAATGCTGTACAGCATTCCAGTTGAATCTGGTATTCCCACGGAAACAATTTCATACAATTCTCAAAAGAAACAGTGTTAATCAGTTTGGCTTTGTAGGTGTAGTGTGTTTTCTGTGAGGTAGGAACTGACTGTATAAAAAGTATTTCATGAGATGAACTTGAGGCCTCAAAGGGTTGTTAATCGTCATATGTGTCCATTTTGAATCACATTCACAACCTTGTGACGTACCCATTAAATTTTCTGCATTCTTGATTCAGTTTAGTGTGCACTGAAACTGGGTTTGCCCTATTTATGTGGCGCTGTACTGCAGTATAACTTTGAAGCATTACATATACTACTTCTTTGTGTGTAATAACAGTGAACAATGAAGCCTTAATACTGATTATTTATTCATCTAGAAAGCCCATACAATTTTGACATCTTGCCACTCTGTGTGCGTATGACGAACAGTGAATAGTGGTAAAAAGTAAGTAAAGGTATCCCGGTAATAGGCCGTGGAGGCCCATAGGGTTGTGAGACGTAGAGGTTCCCACATTTTTAAGACAATCGGCTCACAGATGGCAGTAAGGTTGTTTGCCTTACATGCTGGACGCCCTCTACCCTCAGGAAGATTCCTGGTACTCATTTCTGTTAGCGGCTGAGTCAACCCCAGGGCCATAGTGCAGCTGGAAGGATTAGGTAAATTGAAAAAATCCAATGACCTCGTCGGGACTTGAACCCGCGACCTTCTGCAGTGAATAGCAGTATATGAATTAAATATTTGCTTTTTACAAAGGAAGACTTCATCATGGCCTTAACTATTCAGTTTATCTGAAATAAGGCTGTTTCCTTTCTCACGTTAGTTACATTTTCTCCTGTTATAACTAATTTCAATAGAATGGATGTTAGCACATCATTCACAAGTCCTTTCATAACGTGTATCTTTGAGCATATACTGTATCCTTTCAAAGTGTTGTTACCCACAGGTGAAGAACTTCTGACCCCAACAAAGATATATGTAAGAAGCTTGTTGGCAGCACTGCAGAGTGGGAAAGTGAAAGCAATGGCACACATCACAGGTGGTGGGCTCACAGAAAACATTCCCCGAATCCTACCGGAAGGATACAAGGTTCAAATTGATGCCACAAAATGGCCCATACCATCAGTGTTTGGATGGTTGGCAGCAGCAGGTATGTCTATGTACACAGCGCCCCAAGCTGCCGAGAACAGAGAATATACAGAAGAAATATGTTCAGCAGGGGGTGGGGGATATAATATCCAATCATAATACTTTCCTCTAAATACTTCCTGCTTTATAAAGAGGCTAGCAGAAGTGATAATCTCTCTGCGTAATGTCCAGCATCTTAGATTTTCTGTATGACAGAATTACCAGACATAACCACAAAACTTGACTCCAGTGATGTATTTATTATACAGTATCTTAATCTTTCATGACAGCTGAAGTTGCTGAAATCTTCTCAAGCTATTATATGTGTGAGCTGATTAAAAATCACTGAAGTTTAAATCTCCGTCTGATGTGACATGAGGTTCAGACCGTTACATCTCTATACCATCCTGCAGTTAGTGATGGGAACTGAACATGAGCGAAAAGTTTGTTTGTCTTGGCATTGCTTTATCATATTAGTCACTGACTCCCCTGTCCCTGTTGAAGTTTCTGGAGTGGATCCTGATTTCAGTGGCCTCTTTTATTTAGCAGTCTGTTGAGCGTGACACTTTATTCAGTATGGTGGTGTTGCTGATATCGATGTTGTGGCCCATTTCAGATTTGTGTTCTGCCTGGGCTAGGCATATATACCTCGTATGCTTCTTGCATATTTTTGAGTATCATCACAAACAGACTATTTCCCAAACTAGCTGGATGTGTGGTGTGAGCACAGTGCACCCCAGGTACGGATTCTGTGCCCTTGCCTGTGCTGACAGAGGCCACACGGACCATATCTGGCGGCAGGAGCTTGTTACACCAGCCTCCCTGTTCTCCCTTGACGGTAATCTAAGTGGGCACTATCAGAGATGTTTCTTCACCAGAACTCTGTCCACATTTCATGTTTTCCCAGCTGGTCTACATGTGAAACCCAACACTGATTTAATGGTAACAATGTTAGATGAAGTATGTAATTATGGACGTAGTCGCTACTTATATCTTGCTTTCCTCTGTTAAGTAATGAATGTTACTATCTTCTGGCATCATAAGTTATAATTATAACAGACTTTTGCTTTACTGTTGTATCTTGTTATGCTTCCTGATCATGTGTTATACTCCATGATTCCAACTGTACGTTAAGCTTCACGCTGCTGACTCATAATGTTGTGGGCACTTTGGTGGTCCCGTATCATTGTGGCGTGCAGCTTTAAAACATATTTCTCGTAGGCAAACTCTATGAGTGCCTGAGTGTATATATTGTCTATCTTGAACAGCATAAACTCAAGTCAAAGCTACTGAGAGTGTGCCTGCCATCTGTCAAATTTGGAAATTGCTGCATGTAGCAGTGTGCAATAGGGATAGTAAAAATGGCATCTCTAAGTGTTCTGAAACCATTTTCATAGTATAAAGTAAGGGTTAATATGTATTAATTCAATTTGTCTTCATTTCCATATTTACCAGTCTAGAAAACCAAAATTAATGGTTGTGGGGATTCGTTGTGCTGACCACGTGACACCCTCTATCCGCTAAAGTTTGACACTAACTCTGCTGACAAGCAGTGGTCGCTTGATCGGTATAGTTCACTTGCAGATTAAAGCCATGGAGTTTGTATGTTTTTTTTTGTCCACCCTCCCCCCCCCCATATTTAAGGAAATCTGCAATAATAAGTCAGGAGAGGCCATGTAGATGAGAGAGTTCTTGTTAACTTAGCCATCTCAGAGATGCCTCATGTGATGATACAGAAACCTCATTTATTGACCCGCAAATTCTCAGTGATATGTATGCATGAAATTTCAGTAAATATGGCAGTAGACCTGTTGAACCAGGGACCGAAATGGAAGAACAGTGGAAGATACCATACAGCATGTTGGTAATGTCTTATTCCTTCCTTCATGTAGGTGGCATAAGTGCATCTGAACTGCTTCGAACATTCAACTGTGGCATTGGAGCTGCCATTATTGTGAGTGCCTTGGATGTAGAACATGTACTTAAGTTAATTACATGTGAAGTACCATATACTGTCGGAACTGTGGAAGCACGGAGTGAAGGTGAGGCAGATAGCTATGAAACTCATTGTAACTGGGTGTGTTAACAGCTCACTTTTACAGTTAGGATGGTGCTTAATTGAGTCTGCATTTTTTTCTTTTCTTTTCTCATAGCAACATCCGAGAACAAATATAGTGGTACATCATTTAAGTGTACATCTTGTGAAGTGATCATGGACAGAGTATTTAATCTCTGTCTGTGTGTACATGCTAGCATAAGCGATTCCATAACTGCACTGAGGCTGTGTAAGAGACACCCATGGATTGACATAATCCACCCCACCTCCCTCCAATATACCACACGTTTAACTTCACTCATCAAGCCAGTCTGTTCACACAACTGCAGATAGCAATAACCTTCCCTAGAGGCAAATATTCAGGGTGCGTCAATGAATTGGGCGATTTTAGAAATGTTATGAACAGTAAACTATTGCATTTATTTGGTTTTAACACATATGAATTCATTGTAAACATAAAAGCATTTTGTTTTTCTCTATTAGCTCATTGAAAACAGGAGTCTATTTCCCAAAAATAACATCCGACAGATGACCACGATTCCGCTGTAGGCACTCGGTAAGTCTCTTCCTAAAGGCACTCATTACTCTTTGCAGCATATCTATGGGAATTTGTTCAAATTCTGAACTGTGTGGGGTGCTGGAGCTTTGAAAACTTGAGATTTCAAATACCCTCAGAGAAAAAAATTACATGTGCAAAGATCATGTGACCTGGCGGGCCATGTGATGTCCCCATATCTGGAGATAACATGGTTAGGAAACAGGTTATTCACAACTGCCATGGAAGCTCGTGCGGTGTGGCACGTAGTCTTGATGGCATGGGCAGATGGAACAGCACGATTGCGATGAATACTAAATTCTCTTCGAAACTTACGCTGAGTGATCATGAAACTGTCTCAATTTTTGTAAAATGCTTTCACAGCAAAAGCATGTTGTGCTCCAGTCCACGGCTCCATTGCAACTAAAACGCTTTGAAGTAGGCTGCTGGGTGGCAGTAGTGGCATCCTCCCCACTCCAATCCAGGAAGAAACACTGCTGCCAAATCGCCCTATTCATTGACACATCCAATCCTTGGCCCTTATATATGTATGGCTTAAGAACTTGTTTCCCATATGCAATAATCAAATTTTCATGGTGCAATAGTGAAAGTGTTGAGAATATACAAACAGTGAATTCAGGCTATCTAATGTGACTGGAGGGGGGGAAAGGAATGTTTCAAGACTCCTGAGTACACCGAGCAGCAGCATTGCCTGTCTTAAGAATGGGGTTTTGGAACATAACCTTTCCATAAGTCGAGAATCAAATGTAAAAATGTTTTTGCATTGGCTGAATGGGGAACACAGCAGTGGGCAGAGGGGGTGGGGTGTCAAGCACCACCATCTCCACCATTCTTTGCTGATAGTAGGAAATCTCAAAGTACAAATTGGGGTGATGTCCGGTGGCATAACAAGCATATCAGATTTGTCAAAATCCATACATCGTCTCTCAAGTTCAAACTTGCGGACAGATGTGAAGGACTGTCCCAGTCTCGCAGATTGTCAAAAATATGCATAGTAAGGACAGTATGCATAAAGAATAAACTGATAACTTATATTTTGTAGTTTAACCCTGTTTGTGAATATGTTCGGTTCTGCGCAGACAGTCTTTTGTTCTGCTTCCCTTTCAGGCACAAGTCAGGTTGAAGTTATGAACTTTGTCTCGGCCATGGAGGCACTAATGAGACCATATGTGAACTTGGTCATGAAGGCGCACACCCAGAATAGAAAGCGAGTTGGTGTGCTTATTTCTGGCACTGGTACAAATCTGCAGGTATCTTTCACTATTTACAGTCAGTGCTGCTTGAATTAGAGCCTTCAGAACTTATTTTATTAGTGATGGCTTATTTTCACAGTTTCTGGTACCCATATCTTTGTCTTCATAATTAAGTTTGTTCTTTTCTGTGTGGGTAGGTGTTCAAAACTCCTGCATGAATTTCAGCTATAAAACATTGATGCCAGTTTATTCTCCTACCCAAGAAAGTTTTTTGAGGCTTATAAATCTCTGGAGCACACATGAGTTCAGATGAATCCGAGGTTTTTTTCTTCTTCTTCCTTTTTTGGTATTCTTTTGCTTAAAGGTTTCAAATTTTCTTTTTTCCTGACAAATTTATTGCCTCATGATGCAGATGTTCTAGCAATTTCCTGAATGAACAAGCTTTATGGCTGTATAGAGTTCAATTTATGGGAAGTTTGAGTGTTACACATTTTTACATTTCTGCATGTTTTGTTATTTTAAACACATGCAGAAGACATTGCTGCTGCTTCTTGTCTTGTAAGGTAACACTCTTGATAGCATGACTTGTGATGTTGCAGTCTCTCATTGATGCTACGTTGGATCCAAGCAGGGGAACAGGTGCAGAGATTGTGCTAGTGATTTCCAATAGGCCTAAAGTATTGGGACTCACAAGGGCACAGAAGGCAAACATTCCAACAAAGGTAAATGCGATACGAAATATTGGTGGCAGCTGCAGTAACTCGAGAGGATGGAGTCTTTCAGAAGCTGTCACCTATGTGGTCAGTATGTTCAGTACCATGTTCACAAAAGCCTGCCAGTGAATCAACTTCAATCCTATTCTTTAAGATCCATTTTAATATTGTCTTCACCTGTGGTCTCTTCCCTCTAGTTTTTTATACTAAAGCTTTCTTGTCTACTCGTGGTACCACATGTCCACTCCACATGATCCCCCTTGAGTAATGGTCCTGATATTTGGTGAACAGTACCAATTATTGAGCTCTGCAGCTTATCGTTGTGTGATTTTCTCCATTCCTCCGTCAGTTCCCTCCATCCTGAGGTCCAGATATTCTCAGGGACTCCGATTTTGTTTTGCACTTTTGGAGAGAGACCAAGTTTCACGCTCATGTAGGGCAGCAGATAAAATGGTACTTTTGTGTACTATAATGTTCGTTGAACTTTTCATGAAGAAAGTCAGGAAAGCAGTCTTCTTTTAAGTTTACACAATTGTGGACAGTTACCAATCATTTGTGCCCTATGTATTTATTTATTTATTTTCTACCTTGAGCATAAGATGGTGGCAAGAACATTTCAGCCTAATAGTCAGGACTCAGGAACAATGAAGTACTGTGGGAACAATAAGAGCATTCGATGAGAGAGCTAGCAGTTGCTGACTGAAGCCAAAGGAATGTGTGGATGGTTGTGTTACAGTATCAGAAGTGTCTGAAAAAATGACAATGAACTGTGAAGCGTGTATTACACCTGATTAACCAAGTCATTGTTACATATTTTCCAAACTTGTGATATTCTTTTATTCTCCCGACAGGTTATACCCCATACAGCATATAAATCACGGCTTGAATTTGATATGGCCATGCATTCTGAATTGATGGCAGCGGGCATAGAAATAGTGTGTTTGGCTGGTTTCATGAGGATTTTGACTGGTGATTTTGTGAGGTTGTGGCGAGGTCGTCTTATTAACATCCATCCAGCTCTGCTGCCTTTGTTCAAAGGCACTCACGCTCACCGACAAGCACTGGAAGCTGGCGTCAGAATTACTGGCTGTACAGCACATTTTGTAGAGGTACATATGTTCCTGTCCCACTTGCACCATTCTATGTCTGGGGGTCCCTTTTGCAAGTAACAATTGTTTGTTTATACATTTACAGGAGGATATTGATTCTGGGGCCATCCTGGTACAGGAATCAGTACAAATTGAGTTGGGAGATACTGAGGAAACTCTTGAGGAACGTGTTAAACAAGCTGAACACAAGGTGTTTCCTAAAGCTCTTAAACTGGTAGCCACAGGAAAAGTTTACCTTAACGAGACTGGAAAACTGGTGTGGAGACAGTGAATCTCAGGATGCAGTTCACGATTCGACGCTATTGCGGGTATGATGATCATTGAGGTTTCAAGCAAAATTGTAATGTTATATTCTGAAATGCAGCCACTGCATTATGGCATATATTTTAAGGTACTCAGTACTGTGGTATTAGGAGCACAGTGATATCAGGACCATCAGCATAACTAGTTTGCCTTACGCTTAGGCCATGCCCAAGGCTGTGTATTCTTAACAGAATTATTTGCTCTTCAAATTAGAACATTCTGCAGTAGTTGAGATGCCTAAAGATTTCTGGTATCCTGTTTATCTGCCCGTTACTTAATTACTGTAAAAGTAATTTGAAGAAAACCTGTAACTAAGATTTGACATTCTGATGCCTCAAGCATATCTGCATAATGTATAAAAATTTGGTTCGTACCTCACAGGGAACATACTCCGTCTCCATAGCAACGCCCAACCGGTTAATGCTGTTTAGGGAAATAATTGCTGTTTATTGTGAGAACCACACGGAACATGGGTAAGATGTAGAGTTTCTGAATGTTAAAATAGTTGGTACCATGCTTCAGGGTTGAGGAGTAAGCTAAGCAAGAAACCTGCATGAAGCAGGTAGCAAGCAGAGCCAGCTGGTGTGTTCCTCTCAAACTTCAGTTGATTTTCACTGGACAGTGTTATGTCCCATAAGAGAGCTCTCCATAGTCACTATTGTGAAAGCCTCAAATCTAACACAGCTCTTATATAGATGTTGCATTAGCCAATTGCCAAAGGTGAGGCCATGATGGATGAACATGACTGCATGGTTAGCGAAAGGATCTGTACAAGTTTTGTTGTCCTGCCCCAACTCATTAACCCCAATGCTGGCAACTGCAGGGTTTCCTGAAGCAATGGAAAATCTTGAACATGCTATGCAACACATTCCAAACATTAATGCCATCATCATCCTTCAAAATACTGGTCAGCTAAGCATTTTTATCTAGGATAATTTTTATGGGATTTATCATAGCTTATTTCCCAAAATGTTTTCAGTTTTTCCTATGGTTTTATGTCAAATCTGATGAGTACATTAATGTTACATATTTTTTGTACCCTGTAATGTATATTTGATACTTTTATATGTATATCTGCCATACATTGCATATTGTTATCATATACATATGTTAATAAAATAATAAATCAGGAACTCAGGTGACCTAATTCAAGTTGGCTCTTGGTTAGCAGCAGACATGTTATTCCTACCAGCAGCAACTTTCTAGCAATTTGTTCAGCCTTTTACATTTAACAGTTTTAATACTGTGAAACTGTGACCAGCAGCTGCACAGTGTTAGAGATTAAATTCAGTTGATGAGAGAGACATAAAGAGACATCTTTTGTGTTAAAGTCTCAAGTCAGCATGAGATACTTGTATATGTTCNTTAGTTGTATCTGCTTGCTTAAACATAAGATGTAGGATCCTCGAGGCAGCGACCAGGCATTACATTTGCCATGCCCTCTGTTGATGACAACTTGAAATATGGAGGCTAGATTTTTTTTTTTAATTATCAAGTTTATTTGAATTTTGACCAGAATGGAAGTCATCTTGTGTTACATGTCCAACTTGATAATTCCAGGCCATAATAACAACTACAGTATGTTGCCTAAATTACTAAAATAAACAGCAGCTAAAACTATGGAGCTCTTTATTGAAATAGTAGGCTCTGTTATCAGCAGTGCTGTTTGTATTTACACATTTTACTGTCTCAGTTTTATTTAACATTACATGTGAGGCAGTCCAACTAATATTATATACTAGTAACAGTCTGCACCTGCATGCACACATGTCAATCTACCACAGGTAGAAGGAACCAAAGATACTAAGAAAGTCAGATCGGTGGTCTTCTCCAACCTTAATTCTTGGAACGTGCATCTGATTTCTAACATCATACCGGGTCTTTCCACTTTTTAGAATATTTTCTGATTCTCGCTTTAATAAAATGTGCAATTTCTGTTTCTCCAGGAGTGGAACAAGAAGATTATATTTATCTATCTTTGCATTGAGCTTTTTAACCATGTCTTCATGTTTAACCAAAACTTCATTCCAATTATTATTATCATCATTGTCCAGCGGTAAATGTCCAAGTTCAGTTCTGTACCTCGCAAGACTTTCACGAAGATGTTTTGTATCTTCTGAAATTTCTTTCTGCAGCGTTATCCATTCAGGAGTGAAACCATTGTCGATGAGTACCTGTTAACATAAATTGTAATTTCTTTAATATTATATTGTGACTGCTTCTCTTGGAAAGTTTGGAGAGTTAAATCAAGGACATAGGGTGCTTAGACAGGTTATTTTATGTGAGAAAACAAAGCACAATCAAAAAAGCAGAAATGTTGCATTTTTGCACCTAGAATTATTGAGATCATTAAGTTTAGGAGTGGACTGGATGTGTGCTGCATGCAATTTCACAGGATGGAGATATTCTATTCACAGCTAAAAAAGGGTTAATGAGCACACAAATATAAAATCTGTCCCAGCGTGTGACTGAATCAAACAGTCATTACCTGATTCATTTTATGAGTAACAAAATCAACATATGGATTGCTCGCTTGGTGCTTCAGGGGCTTCCCTGTTCCAGCCAAGTTATCAAATTCACCTCGTGACATTGATTCTTGGATTAAATCTTCCACAAGTCTGTCCATTTCAGATCTGGCAACACAAAAGGATTTCGTGTTTAACAGTTACTGGAAGAAAGTGTTCCACAGAAGGGTAATTAACCCTCTGAAACGTGAATTTCACTTAAACAATATATAAAAATTCAGTTCCTACATCTGTTCCCAAAACCAACTGACCAGTTCTGTTTAGAAGAATCTTTGATGTAAGAAAACACTGTATGGACCAAATGCTTAGTTTTTTATGGTAGGTACAGTTACCATTGTGTTTTAAACACTTAAAGCAAGTACCTGGCTCTCTAATGTTTCATGTCAATACCCTAACTTATGTTAACACATGGACAGTATTTTGCTTTTAGTGTTCAGTGAAACTCTGTGTGACTAGACACACAATAATGGCATCAACTGCAGAGACTGTAGTGTGTACACAAATAAATTTCTCTGCTTCATGAACTGAGTTTCTGTGGATGTGCTCAAAACCTACAGGCAAGATCCAGAACAGTACCATAAATTAAGCCATGACTACTTCCAGTTCAGTAATCATTTGATGCTACATAGTCTGGCCTGCTAATGCACTAATGAACTAAACCATAAATGAATAACTAAATTTCTCATTAAGAATGCAACTATTTCTATCATGCCTTTTCACGACATGTTTCATTGCCAAGCAACCATCATCAGGTGTCTCAGCTATGCCCAAAATGTCCACTTTTTCACACCACATATATGTTGTGAAAAGGAGTTGTATTATCGATGAAATTATATTGGGTATGAAAGAGACTTTAATGCAATGGGATGCTTAAATACCATATTGTGATTAAGAACATGTGACTCAGTAAGCCAGTAGTGCTCTAGAGCTGTATTCATGAGGTCAGCAATTCAAATCCTGGCTGGGTTACTAGCTCTCAATCTGCATTTCATGATTTCCCTAACCTCATCATATATTATCACTCTGCTAAGATTTGAGGTCTTCACAACACAGAAAATTAATGTTGTGCTCTGAACTAATAGTCCAGTAGGTGAGTGCCAACATTTCGGAGGACACGTACTGTGCCCGTCTTCCTGTGTCGCTCAACACAACATCTGTAATTTAAATGCAGACACTGACAGGTCTTAGTAAACGTGAATTCTTTTTATGTTTGTGTACTGAATCAATGCAAGTAATTCAAAATGCTTACCTCAGCTTAATCTTTTGAGCTTCACGTTTATCTTTATGAATAAGACCCTCTTCTTTCCCTTGAGATATATTAGAAATTCTGTGATTGTGAACGTTTTCAATAGCTTTCTGTGCTCGGTACTTCTGAAACTGTTTCTCTCTTTGCTGCGGTGTTCCCATGCCATAGCCTCCATAAGATAAATACTGTCTGTGTTGCGGTGCTGTATGCTGAGTGTGAAAATGAAAGGTGATTCATTAATCATACAGTGAAACACTTTACTATGTAAAGTCCGCAAACAGTGCGCTCAGTACGAGCCCAAATGTTACTACCAATCATAGTCTGCATGTGGGTCAGTGCGTGCCACTGGAACACTCGTTACACACTTCAATGCCAAACATCTTACCTTGATGTCAAACTCCTCTATTTCTGTTTTTTCTTGGTAATACAGCCCGTATTCACCGGCTCCTTCATTTGCTCTCCATCGATCACTCGCAAACTTATTCTGCAGTTTACGGTATGCTTCCTCAATCTGGTACCAAAATCATAACAATTATTGATCTCCAGTAAACTGGGTGCTGCATAATGCATATGCTACATTTGGTTATTTACCTAGCCTACCCTTATGATATTTAAACTCACCCCCAAAGTAAGCAATTCTAATGGGTCAGTGGATTCATACCATAAACTGGTCATGATATTGGTGTTCAAAATTGTCATGCTTGTTGACATTTGCATTGGTGATTCTGCATAATGACTGGCCCACCACAGGGTGCCATTAATTAAAGGTGCTTGCAGAATAAAATGATTTGAGCCGCATCAGATTTGGAGACTGGTCAGTAGCTTGTGCAGATTCCAGATTTGGGTCACATCCCTGGTTGCTGGCTTCCCACTGCAGTGGCCCAGGTCAAATCATGTGGGATTTGTGGTGGACAAAGTAGCATTGGGGCTGGTTTTCTCCAAGTACTTCAGTTTCCCTTGCCAAATCTCATTCCACTAAATATTCCATACGCATCTATCATCTGAGGCTGGTACAACAGGCGAAACAGGGGCTGACATACCAAGTGGGCTCAGTCTCATCCCACCCCATAAAGCTAAAAAAAATTACCCTTTACAAAAGTGAACCATAAAGTCTGAAGGCTTGTTGAACAGCAGAAGTTGCTTCAGTCTTTGGATTTTGAGACCCATGTTTCCAGTTCACCAGAGACCAAAAGGACTTCCATATGTTAAGAATGAAATGCATGAGATATCTGTGGGATTTGCTCTTGGAAATGAGGGAAGAACATACCAGATGAAATTTGTCTGCATTTGCTTCTGGAGAACCACTATCAGGATGAAATCTCTTCACCATAGTCAGGAAGGCTTGACGTACCTGTTCTTGATCACAGTGGCTTGATATTTCTAAAATTGTGAAATATTTCTGCAATTAAAAACAATGATCACAGTTTTCACAGAACTTTTTATTTAAATCTGGATACAGAAATACTACTTCACTATAAAACAGGAAAAAAATAATTCCATGGAGGAGAATCGTCGAGATGCTTATAGACCTTTTCTTCTACCATCTCATACCTGAAAATGTATAATAACTTGTTTTCTGTGGTCACCCAAAAGGAATAACATTGAGAACAGTGCTGTGGTTCAGTGAAGTATGAATGGAAATAAATAGTTTAAACACTGACAAATTATGAACATAAATATTTGAAAAAAAAAAATACACGAGATTCTTATAGGCATCAAGAGGTAAGAGCATCACAATGGGAAAGGTCACGGGCCTGTAACTTCATGTTGCAAAACAAACATTTACCGAGTAATCCTCTTTGTCTCCAGAATTTTTGAAGTTACGGTTGACAGTCTTCAATACAGAATATGTTGGACAATGCAAAACGGGCTTCTGAACTGTTATAACTCCCAGGTGCATTGGCAGGCCATTTATATTTGTTACACTAATAATCTTGAGAACATTAGCCATTACAGCACTTTGTACAAAGAAAAATTAATATTGCAGAAACATGTGATACAGTAGACAGGTGGTAAAAGTTTACAGAAAAATTGGTAACATTTGGAACAAAGTTTCTGGAAATAGCTACGTTCCAATTTCTGTCTGTCTTTTATGATAGAATTTGTATACACCTGACAATATCAAAACAAATGACATCACTAATCACACCACATCCACACATCGTCTGCTTATACAACTCAAGTCATGTAGATTAGATCGCAGAACTTTGTAGGAAGACTTTGGAGATTCTAGAAGAAGAAAATTAAAGCAAAAAATCACATGTTATTTTGTTTTCAAATACTACAGCTTCAATTACTCGATAAGTCTTTGTACTTAGTACTCACATGATGCAATTAGTAGTTGACAAGATGGCTGAGAAGAGGAAAGGAAAGAGGCGGAAGGAGGTAAATTTATGTTAACTTTACTTGGGTATACTAGCCTTTTGTGTTTTTCTTACTGATAAATCGTATGCACACCTCTGAAGATATTTTACAGGCAATTTCTTTGCGATTTAATGGTTGTGATTTTACGACATGTTGGTGCAGGATAGAATGACGTTGGCGACTTTGGGATTTTGTCATGGCAAACGTGTATATTATAAGTACTGAAGTGATTTGTATATGACAATAATACAGGTGTTATGATACATCTGTGTAAATATCAGTGTGCTGTAATTTATCTGATTCAGATTATACGTCTCCAATGGATGACTTGTGATGATGATCGGTCGTGCGATTTAACGGTATTTTGTATACAACCTGCTACAATATTATAAGGTTTATAGATATAGGACACCATGAGTGCATTAAGTAAAAATTTTATTTAATTTGAATATGTAACGTAGAAATGTTATGATATTGGTTTTTGTAGTTTGATTTCATATTGTGGCCTAATTTGTCTTGGTGCTGTAATTTAGACAGGATCTACAAGTACTTTTATATATGACATTTCTACAGAACTCAGTGCACTTTTTTTCAGGAATTTGTTCTTGAAGAACCAGAGAAACCAACCCGAGAAGAATATGCTGTTGCAAAGTGGCTGCGCAAACATGTACCAACAAAGAAAACCAAATTCTTAAATCATAATGTGGAATATTTTACTGGTTAGTTATTTGAAATGACTTTATTCCATAATTGTAAGATCATTTGAAGCAGTGATATGTGTATAGGCCTTACATTGTATTTGGAATGTTGATTGAATTCTCTCTTTATAGCTGTCAAAGCTGTGGATGCGCTCATGGAAACTCCCTGGGCTAATCCTAAAGAAGGGGACGAAACATTCTTCACTTCAAGAGCTGATATAGTTGAATTTCTTGATAGGTAACTTTCTTTCTCTTAAATAGTTCTGAAGCAGTTTTCAAGTTGTGAAGTAAACCTTATTAGGATTTGTTCTCATTGGTGTTCCATGTCATTATTATTGTATTACTAATTGATTAATATAGAAATTAAGAAACCAAACAATGAATAATACTGTAAATATTTCCCTTGAATATGTTAAACAATGCTGAATAATATTGCATGTCAGAATTACTGGATTTTGGACTTTGTCCATCGTCTGGGATTCTAGAAACTAGAGAATGTAACTTTTCAGAAATCGCATCAGTTTACATCCTCAGAGGAAGGGTGAGACACCTGCTCTGTTGGCTCCCTTAGAAAGAGCTAATCTAAGTTCCCCTTACCTGAGGACAGAAACATCCAGTTTTCCAAAACGTGTTCTCTAGTTTTTAGAATAACGGACAATGGACAAAGTCCAGAAACCCATTAATTTTAAGTGTTATATGCAATGCTCGAGATGGTTCAAGTTTGTATAGCAACAGGCGTGACCAGAGTGGTTTGAATGGCTGTTGTACTGCGATGTGGGAAGCAAATGGAAAAACTACCACATTATCACTTTTCCTGGATAGTCTCTTTCCAAAAACAGAGATACCATGTATGTGAGATGTGACCTCTGGAGACAAAACAAACCAGAGGGGCCGATAGAAGTGACCAGAAGACGAGGAAAAAGATGCAAGAAGATGCTGGATGACTTTGGGGACCGAAGAGGATATTCTTATTTGAAGGAGAAAGCTTGAGATCGCATTAAGTGGAGGAACTGTTTTGGAAGAGACTGTGGACCTGTCATCTGACAGATTACTGATGAATAAATGAATGAATGAATATGCAATTGTCAGAACCCTTTGGAATCTACAATATTGTGTGTACTCTTACTTTGACAGTAAGTCCAGAGCCCAGTGGAAGTTTACTGGTTCAAAAATTAGGAAGCGTGTTAGTTAATTTATGCAACTTACATAATTGAATCAGTGGAAATAGCCATTATGCCAGTTATGTCGCTGAGAGAGGTAGTTCTTATATTTGCAAGTTGTGCATGCATTGTTTTAGGAGGTTGGTAAAACAGCTCAGCTCACTAAGTCATGTTACACCATTTTAGGATGTTGAGGCACAAGTTTTTCCATCGAGCCAAGAAAGTCCCAGTGTCAGAGCAGGAGCTGAAAGCAAAGTTGAAGAAGAAGGAAAAGGAACGAAAACGTGAAGCGGGCGAAGAGAAACGTAAGAAGGATGAGGATAAAGGTGACGCAGATGCTGAGAGTAGCCATGCTGAAGGAGAGAAGAAAGATGACAAACAAATGGTGCCCTCTGTAAGTCTTAGATCGTGTGACTCTATTGACATGTCTCGCTCCAGAATGTAATTAGGTATTAATTGAGTGTGAAATTGTCTGTTAGCTCTGTCGTGTCTATATACTTACGTCAATTATATTGCTTCTCCTCCATTCTTCATCACAAATCTTGATGTTTGGAGTTCGCCAAGTGTCCGAGTGTAGTGCTGATGCTGTCTGAATTTAGTTTTCATTACAATTTCTCTTAGTACCTTTTTAGGCTGCTCTCAATATCCTTCTTTGTTGCAGTCTTCTGTGATGCCAAAATGTCTGGTAGACAGGTTCCAGTGTTCTGGAGGAACCTGCTGCCTTGATCTGTAGGGTAGCTACTACTGCTACACTGAAGATGGAGGCAGTACAATATATTGATAATGTTTTGTCACCTTCTCAAATCCGCCGTTCAAAATTAACCTGACTGGTTCTGATTAAATGCTACGTGATTTAAGCGTGAAATATAATAAGAAACTGAATGTAATTCAAGCTCAGAATTCTGAGAGCAGAGGTATGCACATTTTCACAAGCCTCGTAGCCAGGTTCTTACTTGAAGGACTAACGATAATTAGTACTGGAGAAATGTAAGGCTCAGCCATCAGGTGTTCTGCTTCTGTGCGTCACAGCACTAATGCAACATCCAGTTGGTAAAGGCTTCAGTACAGCAAGAGTTTCAGAATACTCTGTTAGGTATCCAGAGCAAAGTAGATGATTGTCAAGGTTTGTTGAATATTGTCCTGTAGTACCCCTGCTTCATGTTCAAATCTTGACTAAGGTATTATGGTTTTCCTCAGTCCTTGTAGGCATTTAGCACTGTGGCACCTTAAAATAGACCATGGCCTCTTCATCAGTGTACCGCACCTTTTTAGAGGATAAAGTGTCCATTAAATATAGAAGCAAAACAGGAGCAGTCTGGGCGAATGTTGAGATACATTCGCTGTAATGAATTGTGTGTCATTTGACACTTCCCACATGTTATTAAAGAGGAGACTGGTATAAACCACATGCAGTATCTTCAGGCTGCTGGCAGTAGCTTTGAGATGGGCATTGCCTTATTACGTACAGAGCGGTTGTGAGTTCAGTGGTTTATTGCATTAAAAAAACCCAGTGCAATGCAAAGTACTGCATGGCCATTCAGGCAAGTTTAATGAAAGTCTGAGAATATTCTAGCATTTAAAAGTCCTGTAACTTGTTCCACTTTTGCTGAGTTTCTTGTCATTTTTGAGCAGTACATTTTCTGAGTCCTTTCAGATGTAAGGACACTCTCAGTCAGAAAACCGTGACTGATCTTTGTACTTCACATTCTGAATTTTATGTCTTACTCATAAATATTTGGTATCAATATAGCTACAGCCTGGGTGGGAGGGTTTGTTCCCGGCAGGGACAAGACCAGCTCTGTGGCCCACCCAGCCTGCTGATGGGTACTGGGGGTAAAGCAGCCAGGGCATGAAACTGACCACTCACTTCCATCTAGTACACAAGGTCAACAATGGTGGAGCTGTAGATCCACTCCACCATACGTCTTTATGGCATAGTTCTTAATTAATTAAGCATATGCACAGCTTTACCTGTTAGTCTTAAATGTTTAAATTAGAATATTTGTCCTCCCAGAGTTTTGGTAGCGCTACTGTAGCAAGAGTCAGTGAATCACATGATGTTGGCAAGAGTTGCATGAAGTGTCAGATCAACACACTCATTCATGAGCTCCCATATTTTATACAAGTTTATGGTTTATTTAATAACACTGTTATTAGTTCAGACTGTACAGTGTTGAATGGTTGGGTGATTAGTGAATAATAAATTGTGTAGGGCGCAGAAGGAAGGGATTGTAGCCTATTTGACCTATCCCTGCATTTGCTGGGAGGAACAGAGGAAATCCATTAAAACCTCAGTTAGGATAACTGAGCTTCAGGCCAAGATTTTAACCCAGGACCTCCCAGATATGAAGCAGGATTGCTGTGCCTCTTGAACATACCGTTTGATACAGAGCAGTGAAACAGTTCTGATTGTCTTGTAGCAAACAGACAATCAGATTTTCCATTGATTTGGTTAATTTATTGTAAATCCTTGTTTTAGGAGGACAAAGAGAAAAAGAAACGTAAGATCAGGCTTGAAATGCATCTAGATCAGCTGTTTGTTGATGGTCTAGATGCCTACGTGTGGATCTATGATCCTATACCTGTGTATTATTGGTTCTTCGGCACTTTGTTGGTACTTGGCGCTATTGCAATTTGTCTGTTCCCACTGTGGCCACCTTCTGTAAGGTAAGAGGAGGACTGTAATTTGCAAATGTAAAGACTTGAAATGTTTCCTCTCTGTTGATGCTTGTGACAGTGCAAAAGTAGAGGTAAAAATGCAGAAAATGAAGCCCTTGGACACTTCCATGCACCAAGTTGAGATTACTTGTTCTGATGTGAGCTGTGATCGTGTTACAGGAAAGGAGTCTATCACTTGAGTATCGGAGCTGCTGGATTCCTCATCTTTATAATTGCTTTGGCAGTTGTGCGACTTGTTGTGTTTTGTGTTCTTTGGGCACTTACTTTTGGTAAACATCATTTCTGGCTCTTCCCAAATCTCACAGAGGATGTCGGGTTTCTGGCCTCGTTTTGGCCTATATATCAGGTAAACTAGTACAGTGGACTTTACTCATTTATTTCTGGTCACTGTGTATTATAAACCACTCCAAGTGATAATAATAATACCTGGCAGTGTGCATGCAGCGTAACATGCGATGACATAAAACACAGTTTTTGTTCTCTAACATATGGCATCCAGAAGGCTGTGAAATGATTCCATATGATGCTGAGTCTTCTAATAAACATAGGAAATGTGTGCAGAAAGACACGGAGATATAACAAACACTGCACATCACTGAGTCCAGAAAATTTCTGGGAAACACCATGTAGAATTAGAGTGAATCACAGAAAATTTCAAGGAATACTGCAGAAGGGGTTAAGTACTGACATTTCCCATATTGCAGTTGTCAGCAGTTCAGCATTAAAATTACAGTCTTGGGAATGTGTTGCCATGTAGTTCAGTATGTTGGTACCAATTTTTCAGCTAGGAACCTGCATGGCCATAATCTTAATATTGAACTGTTTCAAAGCTTTTATTTGTGCTGAAACACAATATTACACAAATGGTTTCCCTCACCTCGGACCCTAATTTTTCAGGAGTGTGTATGAAGGGTGGATCCATTGTACCAGTTTCGGTTACGAGATATCTTGAAGCATACAATCATATATGTTAGCATCTTTGTTGATTTAAGATTATGGTCTTGATACAGTGCAGTCTGGTACATGATAAGAAGGCAGTTGCTAGGTTCCATAGAAATGTTGGTAACCATGCACCAGACTGCAGGGCATCATACCCCAAAGGACACATGTTTAATATTTGCTGCCATGAGTTGCAGATCTCACACATAAGCATTCTTTTACGAACTGGAAATTTGCTAGGTACTTTCTTAAAGCTTTCATACCGTACCGGAGGCATTTGAAATGGTATACAAAGGTGAATCTTTCTGAACTTCAGTCTACCTGCGTAAAATTGAGATATTCAGATTGCTGAAAGCTCTTGTCCTCAGATTCTCTGATGGTGCCAGGATTGTGGTGCTGTTACATTGGTGATCAAATCAATGAAAATGAGCTGAGCAGGGCCTGTAGCATATATGGGACAGATCAGAAATGCATACAGAATTTTGGTCAGAACACCCAAAGACCTAGGTGTAGAAGGCAGGGTAATTTTAAAATTATTATTATTAAATATACAGAGTGAGCATGTGAACTGGATTCATCTGGTGGTCCAGTGCTGCAGTGTTGTGGACACGGAAATGAACCTTGAAGTTTTGGGAGGGGTAACATCACAAGGAGGGTTCTCCTCCTTCAAGTTAGTTGGTGGTTAGTGCCAGAGAGCTGATAACGTTTGTTTTAGACATGTTATTGGTCACTGCCTTCACTCTTATGATTCGAATAATTTTATCTGACAGCCTGTTCCATGTGTGACAGTTCTGCAAACCATTCCTTTCCAGTATGAGTACAAAGGTCAAAACACTGAAGAAATGAAAAAGTCTACCAGAAAGAAGAAGAAAGAGAAAGATTCTGATAACGAAGAAGAAAATTTGGAAGGAGATTTGGCTGAGAGAGAGGATGCTAATAGAACAGAAGACGAACGGTAAGTAACGCAAGAAGCAGCAAGAATAAACTCTCTGCTGCAACTATCTAACATTTACCATTTCAGTACAAAACAGTTATTGTCTTCTTGGACGTGGTGCCGTATAGTGTGGTGTGATATATACTGTCTTCAGCGCGTATCACAAAACAGCCAGTAAAATTGCGGTTTTATGTTGGACACACCGGACATTCCATTGAGACGGTGAAAGAGCACCACTGCCACAACCAAGTAAGTCACCCCAATGAGAACATGGAATAAACCCAAGTCATTGCATCCTAACAACAGAATCTGGATCATCTGGGAAGCGATAAAATTGAGTTCAGTCCTGACTGTGACCAGGTATCTGGGTTTCTTCCTCAACAGGTTGAGGAACCCTTGCTCAAGGAGTGCAGTAATGTTCTTTCAGAGAGTGGCATGCATTTATACTGGCCATGGCACAGAAGAGACCCTTTCTGTCTCTCCATCTGTATTTCTTGAAAATATTTTCCGTTAATCTTCCCTCCTCCTGTCCTGAAGTAGTTGCTGTTTTCAAAACGTGTGTCAGACCAATTTTTCTGTTTTGTCCTGGCCCCCCTCTTCATTCATGGCTGTCATTGCCCATTCCTGTCTTCCATGGCCTATTTTGTTTCCTCCTCCTCCTCTTTAAGTGCTTACTTCCCAACTTCACTCACTTCCACCATGAAGATAGAGGCCAATGTTGATACTCACCTACTAGACTACAGCTGCCGAAGCGCAGACCACAACATTAACATCAGGAGCAACGTTGACAGCGCTGAAAAGGTGGGAGATACAAAATATGGACCTTCTCTCATTTGCACCTAAGTGACTTGCATTGTACTGTGAACAGTGGCAATGCTGTCAGAGAATGCAGCCTGATTTGTGTGGCAAGAGGCTGTGAAAACTGGTCTCATAGAGGAGTGCATGAGGCAAAGGAAGATAAATGAGTGGGTGTCCATTGACTGAACATGTGTCAAAGAGATTAAGGAACAAATGAGTTGGGTATACAGGAAGTCCGAAGAATTCTCAGTGATGAAATTGCGTGTGAAATAATATCAGGCATGGAACAATGAGGTACAAGAACTGCTTAAACCTTTAGAGCACAGTTGCTTTATATGTACCACCTGCTGTTAACATTTAAATATTCTGCATTTTTCCCACACAGTGTACCTATTTTTTCTATGTGGTTCTCACAGTAAACAGCGTTAACTGACTGGTCTATATAACTGCGACCCTGTGTTTTCTATGAAGTGTGATTTTATCTTTAAATATTGTGTAGCTGAACTTCAGGCTTCAGAATGTCTGTCAGAAAACATTTTATTCTGATGAACTCAAGGAACTTCTAGACCACTGCACCAGCTGCATTAAAATGCAGGGCAATTATGCAGAGAAATAAGTAACGTGTCATCAGTTTGTATTGTTGATATTTTTTTCAACACAAAATTGTGTTTAATTTTTTTACTTCCCCTCATATTGACATTTTATTTCATGCAATTAATGTAGCAGTCACAGTAGATTAATAAAAACTCAACAGTTTATAAATTACAAATATTCAATTTTTGTGTTCTATTGGAAAATCTCTCGGAGTGTCATGGGAGTTTTGTGTTTATGGTTTGGTCATTGTAATCTAGCCTGCCGCCTTCATACATTACCATAAATGCCTAGGTTAGGTGTGGCATCTGACAGTGAAGTGTAATATTCTGTGTCGACTGCCCTTGCTAGGCCACCCGATGCTGAAGAGAAAGCTGAAGAGGAGAAGGACACAGACAATTCAGAAAGTGAATCTGAAAGCAGCCAGAAGTCTCAGACGGGAAAAGACTTTGAAATGGTAGAACGGGAAGAAGTAGAATCCTAACACTTAAAAGTATGGTAAGAAATGTATTTAACCACTTATTACAATTCATGTAGATGAAGGTAATAAATTGGCTTTGATTTTGCAATACACGAACTAGATGCCTTGCAGACGTTTAACCCTGATGATGTAAATTTTGTTTTTCATTTCTATTTCTGTTGACATGTGAATTGTGTTACCAAAGTGAAATTAATGGTTTCGATGCCATGCACTTCAATCATTATAGCTGGATTGCTGTACAGTTCCTGTCAGTTAAAGGTTCTCATGTGAACTGTGTACAGGTTAATGAGTTCATACTTCATTTTCTCAATCTTCTCAGCGAATGCTTCCTGTCGTTTTGTGGCATGTTACCACATGAAGAATTTCTGTTTGTTATAATTTATTTGTAGCAAACATATTTTAAATGAAGTTAGTTTTAAGTGGTAAATAAATTAATAGGGGCGCAATCACAGCGTTCCACCAGCAGTAACTTTCTCTGAACCAGAGTTCTGAGGTGCAGGTATCCCCAGACTACTCCCACAAATTTTGCCTTTTTTTTTTAAGTGAACATAGAAAATAACGAAATTATTCATCTAAACCAAAAAATCATAATTTAATTGTTTAAATGAAGGTATTAAAGTTATAAGAATGAAAATTATAGGCCAAGAAACCAGTGACTGCTAACATTTTTGAGTTATGTGACAACTGTCATGCTCATCAGGAGATACTTGTACTAAAAATGGTATGGTTCAATGGCATGGACTGCTTTAAATTTATTCTCATGGCAAGTATTCCAGCTGACAGTGTTCTGTGTGATCACACATGCGGCCAATTCATAATTTATGTTTTACCAAACCGCATACAGACATGCTAAAATATCCTATATTCAAGTGAAATCACAGCTTGTCAAATTAATGTAAAATGTTGTAGTAACCAGTATTTTACTATGGGCTATAGAAGAGTGTGTTCAACAAAAAATGCTTAAGGGATATCATTTTAATAGCTTCTTTATTTTTAGAATGGTGTTTACATTATACAAGGAGTAAACAGCCTGTTAAAGAATATAACAAAAAATAACAAGTGTATCAAATCTGTGATGTTACAGAGAAAAGGATTAATGTCCAAAGTTCTAAGAATTTAAATAAATGCAGGATGATGTTCTCCCCTTTAAAGAATCAAGTGGAAACCAAGTGATATTACTAATACTTCCCATTCAGTGGCATAATGAAATATTTACAGTTTCATATATTACTGCCTAAACATGAAAGTTACTTCTTTCTGCTCCTAGAAAGTATTTTGGTAACTTAACTCTCTTTTCCGTAACACCACAGAACAGTCAAAGGTAAACACAAGTGTTATGTAGAGCTGCATATTCTTTCCGTCTCAGAATTAAAATACTATGTATGTAGGTGCACACTATATATATAAAGATACATGATATTATAACTGTTTCGTAATCTCACATTTTAATATTGCTGTTCTGTTTTCCAGTGTGAATGATGCATATTTGTTTTTGAAAAATCGTTTCATGGATCTGTACCAGTTATAATAAATCTTATGCATCAGAGCCGATTGTATCTGTTTACAATTTTAATTCAGTGCTCAGCTGTGAACATGCTAATTACAGGTTGATCTGTTTGATGCCACCTGTGAACTGTGCAAGCAACTCTGCCTCTGAGAGAACAGAAGTTTGTTATTCTCTCCCCACTGTGGGGCCCTGGTGGTCTAGATGTAAGCAACTGAGCTCTCTCATTTGGAGGGTCTTAAGTTCACTTCCTGGCAGGATTTACGTGCAGAATAAACCATGGACATTTGATGCTTTCCATCTTTACTTAAGCTCAGATTCTGGGAATGTGGATCAGACCCACATTGTGGTCTGAAGCACATATTAAGGTGCTCATCTCCATGAACTGTTATCCTGTCACTGGGAGTAACTGGAACGTGTGTTAGGGGTGCTCATGAATTAATTCCTTCTTCATACTGGGAAGGTAGAGCTGAAGGCCAGAATGTCCATACCTAGAGGCACCTTCTTCAATAAAGGTACTTGCTGTGTATAACAAACTATTTTTAGGGCTGTAGCGAAAATATCTTCTTAAAAAATATATAGTGGAACACCAACTTAATGTTCCTGGATCTAAGATTTTTCATCATCCAGTGTTAAATTCCCTCCAAGTAAGATTTTCCTCAATTTACACATCCAAATCATCGTCTCCCAACACCTTAAATGTGCCTTCCATTGTACTTACTGCCCAGTCATACTTTTGTGGACTGGATGTAATGTATCATTGCCAGCAGCACACATTTTGTTCCAGATTTTACCCATGACTGACCGTAGGGCGCCAGATACTTTCCGTCCAGTAGTTAGTGTGTTACTTTGCCCTACCACTGGATGTGCCATCACAAGGTTTTAATCGTATATGTCAGACTGCCACCCAAGTTAATTGTGTTAGTCTGCAGGAATACAATTTTCCATCACCGTACTTGTATGGTCTGGAAGGTCCCTTGTTAGGAGTATGGTTTGTGCATATATATATATAACTATATATATGCAGAGTATGTAAGAACAGGGTAATTGACAACAGGAACTTCACAATCATTCAGTGTAGCTCCTACAGTAATGCCAGGGAAAGAAGTCTCATGGATTGACTCCCTTCATATTTCCCTCAAACTGTTACAATTCCCCCTTAAATATACCCATTCCATTTGCATGAATGTTGGTAGTGATAAGCTGTGCTGCTGGTGACCTGCACATGCCAGAGGGGACCAGGGGGAATGTAACAGACCATACACAGAAAGAGGAGAAACCCTTGAGCACTGAACCCCCCTCTTCCCATCCACAGGACTTCTTTCAGTGACTGGTACATTTCATTTCTGTGCAGTGTGCTGAAGCTTTCCCATGACATCATGTAACATCTGATTGCAGAGTGCTGCATAAGGGTTCAGCTCAATGAGCTGCGTTTTTGCAAACTGACTTCCAAGTTTGGCAGCAGCTTCAAAATCTGCTCTTGCCAAATCATCTTGGCCTTCCCTTCTGTTCATGATTCCACGCTGACACAGTGCTTGACATCCTGATCTTCCTTGGCCTCCACTGAGATTGATGGCTTCATTCAGGTCAGCAATAGCAGCTGAAAAACAGTGCATCTCTTCATATGTGTGTACACCGTTCATCCTTCTGCTGTTCTGGCTGTTGCTTCTTTTAACTTTTCAAATAAGTATATAAGAGGGTACTATTGTAAGTTTAATTTGTTAATGTGTAAGTAAAAAGTAAAGATATCCCTGTAACAGGCTGTGGAGGGCCATAGGGCTGTGAGATGTTGAGGGTCCCACATTTTCTACAGAATCAGCTCATAGATGGCAGCAAGGTTGTCAGCCCTACGCGCCGGCCGCTCTTTACCTCCAAGAATGTTCCAAAAATATATCCTGGTACTCAGTTTTGTTAGAGGCTGAGTCGACTCCAGGGCCATAGTGTGGCTGGAAGATTAGGTCAATTGAAAAAAATCCAATGACCTCATCGGGACTTAAACCCGCGACCTTCTGGCTTATAGCATTTACTAAATTAGAGATCATCTCAATTATCTGCTCTGCATGTAGTGAAGGTGGCAGTGATAGAGAATGACAGCCAATATGAGCACAAACGTGACTGATCACAACTGGAAGTATTCAGGCGCTTTCTGAAATCTCAGTCATACATTCACATCTGCTACCTGCGAATTCGTTCCAAGATGACTGGTGAATAATTAATTGAAAAGGAAGTGGTCATGGCCTAATTTCAGGCTACTGAACAGGCATTTGCCTGCAGGATCTGACAAAGACGATGAAGAACCTCTCTGGGCTGAATTTTGAACCTGACACGTTCTGACTATGAAGTAGACATGCCAACAAGTTGACTGTAACACAATTCATTAAAGGGTGTAGTGGCCTCGTCTGGCATCATCACAATTCTACTTTGTGGTCCCAGTGTAGCAAGGTATCAGGCACATGCATATATACATATATCTGAACCTAAATTTGAATTTATTTACGTTCCATAAATCCAAGTACAGGTTGACACCACTGGATATGGAACAAGTCAAGAACAAATACATAATATCTGTACGGTAATAGTTTTTCTTGAAAAGTTAATTTGTTAATAAGATTATAATACAGTATTGATATTACCATGCTAATTGGATACATACAGCGCAGTCCGCAAACAGGCAAATTGATACAGTAACGTGCTCACGAGTATACCTTAGCTTGGAACTGATACTAATTACTGTTTGTTTACATTGAAATATTAATCTATGGAGTAGACGGAGTGACTAAGTAACACTTCAGTGCTGTTTTAAATTGCTTAATATTGCCAGTTGCTTTTTTGAGACTTTGAGGAAGGCTGTTCAACACTTTGATGCTGAAGGAGTGAACTTCTTTTTGACATAGTGATAGATTTGCCGAGTGTTGGTGGAAGTTGAATTTTTGCCTCACATTTATGTTATGGATGTCAGAATTTAAATTGTACATGCCCATGTTGTCTACCACAACATGAGTGAGAGTTTGTGCTGTGAGTGAAATGGTAATATTTTTAATTTTTTAAATCTGCAAGAATCTCTGTCCTTGTTTCCTGTGATAATTCTAACTGCCCTCTTTAGCATTTTGAAGAGCTTAGTTTATGTGGAGAGGCGTACACACCTGGTGTGTTCCCTTTCAGTCGGTAAGCTTGAGCCCTGTTGTTGTACCCTGATGCCCACTGCGGCGCAATGTTGATTACCTTTGTAAAGGTTGCTATAGCAGTATCCAGGTCTCCAGATTCAGCTGCCTTCACACCTTCCAGTTCCAAACTCTTAGCTTCTTCTCCATTTGCTATTTTACCTTCATCATCTGAAAATACATTACAGCATAGATTTTTGTATAATGGTGACACAAGATAAAAAATCAAATTGCCACAAAGCAATCTGTATAATAATAAATCATACGGAAGATTTCAGGTTCTTGTGGTCATGACTGATAATTAGCTTCTAGGTCATAATACCATGTAGATTTTTTCTAAACATCATTAATGAACTACCAGACTGTTTGTTAGTCATCATATCCATGAAGGTAACAGTTTTCAGAAATCCTATGTATTGAGAACTGATGAATACAGCTGCTAGCAGCCATGTTTAAAAGATGGTACATAAGTAGTTACAGAAGCCAGTGTCCTGGAAATGTTCATGAAGCAGAAATGCAATGACCATGGAATGGGAAAATTGGATGTGAGGGTGAATTTATATTCTATCTATTCACTTTAATTAATCTTGTACAAGCCAAAATACTCCATTTTTTTTAGCAGAAAAACACCCCTTATGATTTTCGTGAATTAAAAACAAATATGCAAACACTGCAACACAATTAATTTATGCAATAATCTTTCACTTCAAAATTGCATTGCTGTACAAACCCAGGCATCCTGTTTTGGCTAAGATCAGTCTCTCCACACCATTTGGATTCTGCTAAATGTTCCCAGTGGAACACTTAGAATAATTCTTGTTACAGTATTTACAGTAGATGCAAGAAAACAAGGTATCACACTACTTCATTTATTTTATGTGTTCTGACTTCATCATAACCTGTGGTCACCTTTCCTCAGTGAAATTATTTGTCAAACTGCTTGTAAATGTTCATCCCACACTCTAGTGGATATTGCAAGAAAATAAAGACACATAAAGGGCATCTTTCCAGAGAAAATGTAATTTTACATTCAGATGAGTACTGTTTCATGCGGGAAGCTCGTTGTTCTTCTTTGCACATTGTGATGTCACAATGAACCTAAGACCAACCTTGCAAATTATGTGGCAATTCATCCTCGTATATCAATTCACCCACTGGCAACAGAGGATTAAATATGCAGTTTAGTATAGCCCTGTCGTGTTCACTTGACATGTTCGTTATGAGGTAATGAAAATAATTATATCTCAACCGTTCTTCGCAACAATTCCTCGTTTACTGTCCTATTGTAACGCAGCTAGTACCACGGATCCCCGACTTGTGCTACGGGTACTACTCTCGCTCTCAGGTGCAGAGAGGAGAAAGTGTACTCCGCTAACGCAGCTATCCTACATCTACTGTAGTAAGCAGTAGAGTATTGCATGAATTTCTGTAGGCCCCGGAATTGTAGTCTTATTAAGTAATCTCTTACGCAGAAAAAGCTAATGTTACGTTGTGTGCAATTCAGTAATTCATTAAGTGATGATATATTTCAAGTAGGCCGTGCTTGCCCTCAAAATGGCTGCCTGGGAGGATGTAGATGTTATAGAAAGTTGGGAAGAAATCGAGGATTCGGGGGTTTGTTAACTTATTTTAAAGTTAGCAGTTAATTTCCACAGAACCCCTAACGATTACATTTAATTTAAACTATGTCAGTTTTGTATTTCTTGGGTGTAAATATGGGTAAAGATGAATGTGTGTATGTTGGTCAGTGAATTCAAGTGGTAGACATTTTGCTTCCATGCAGGAAATGTTGGAGGCATGTTTCTATGAAGCACTTTTGGATGGATCATTTCAGTCTTAATTCAGAGTTATCATTTAAGCTGATATATGTGTTGAAGTACAATATACACTAGGTGCTTGTGATAAAATTTTGAGTTTAGTACTGTAGGTTACGTAGAAGGTGAGGAGTTTCCTATTGTGGATGTGAAACAAATTAATCGTCGTGTTTCTCATAGGTCCTCGACAGGAAGCTGTTGCAGTCCGAAACACCCTCTCCAGATGAATCTGAAGTCACGCCGAGGTAGTGTTAAAGATACATTCATAAGTAATGAGTAAGATACGTTGTGCTTTCTAGTATTCACTTTGTGGCCAAGACTTTGACTATATGCTATTATGAAACAAGCTTTATAATATCCGAGGGACCCAGTTTGTTCCCATATTTTTTTTCGTATTTAAAATAAGTAGGAGAGTGCTACACTTCTAAGCCACATTAAATGTTGTGAAAATGCTTTATGCTATGTGATAGTAAGGAAATTATAATGTCTGGTAAAATTATACAGTTGCCTGTNAGTGAAGTTTAGTAACTTAAGAAGGGCATTAAATCTGTACTTTATGGATCATTAGCACTATGTCTTTGTGCGTCATCACACAAGGTGATAAATGTAGCATATAAACCAGTGGTGGAGGCAGCAGTAGTTATTGGTCTCCATTCAACAAGAAACTTCATTAGCTGGTGAAAATATGGAAAATAAATATTTTTGTGTGCAGACATTAGAATGTAGTGATAAGTGACTTATGACTTTCATCAGGGAGGTGACAAACGGTCCAATAGTACTCCAAGGGGAGGACAGTCTCAGGACTCAGTATGTTCCTCCAGAACCAACAGTTAAAATTCTAAAGCGACCTGCTAGGAATAATGTGATTGGTGGTGCGGATGGACCAGTCCTTAATGGAGACTCAAAGCCCCGGCAGCCAATTAAAACTCTCCAACAGGTAAAAGTGTTTTGATGAGCTTGGAGCTGACGTGATGGATGTGTTTCTGTGGGTGAAGTTACAGTATGTGAATATGAAAAGATAATATATGTGAGCCTTGTTGGGTTTTATAAATATAATGACATTTGTCCTTTCTTTTTCCACCCACACCTCCCACACCAGAGAGAGCAAGAATATGCTGAAGCAAGACTGCGAATTCTAGGAGAAGCACGAAGCCCAGAAGAGCAACTACATATAGCAACTAATGATAGGTAAAAACTAATAAAACATTTTTAAATGTGAGAAGGATTTTGCGATTTACTTTTTTCTGTTTGAAAGTGATTTATTTTTGTGGTTTGTGTAATGATGCTTTCAGTATCGAACTATGTAGAATTGGTGTGAATTATTATACAGGTATTGAGCAGTAGATCTGTTTGTCTGCACAGTTTTGTTGCAGTGTTAGTAACTTGCAGGATTTGTTGACGGTGTGTGCACACAGCAGCTTGTAAATTGTCAAGTGTTCATGTTTCTTGCCATTGTCTCCTCAGATGTACTGTATACTTTGAGTAGGCAGTGAGGTGCATGTTCATTGAGGTCTCATGTATGGCATTTTTGTTTCTATCGTATGTGGAAATAGAGTCTTGGTAGCTTTCTAGAAGATGCTTAATGATATAATGATGACGCACCATCAGGGATGTTTCAGACACGTTATCACAGTTTGTTCTATACCATTCTACAAATTCTGCTGCCTGTGGTTAGATTTTCCCTGATGTACTTGTAGGAAACATGCTTATGGCAGGTTTGTTTCTCTATATTAATGGCAAACGATATTGTATTATCTTTTTTGCTTCTTATAGCATCATTTGCTCTTCATATGGGTTGAGAGTGAACCTGAATGTCTGGGCTCCCATAATAGGGGACCTTCAAATAGGCCTCAAAGTACAGAATGGCAGTTTTCTTGGAAATTCTTTGAACACTTGTGATAAAATTTCAGCAATTTGTGAAGACTCTATGCCTAAATGAAACTGCATATGTAGATAAGTGATGTTTTACTGGCCAGCCCAATTTCATTCAGGTCTGCTGAGTAACAGTAGCCTTTGTGTCCAAGGTAAAGAGATTGTGAGTCATACATGAAGGAGTATGAGCATTGTCTGTGCTTGATGTATTCTATTGCCTGGCTGAATCATCTTGTTCCTCATCATCCAGTGTAATTCTGATGCGTTTCCTGGTACCCTTGACCTATCCATTCCTCTTACATGGCCCAACCATTGCAGTTGCTGTTTATTGTTATATAATGGAAATTGTAATTCTTGTTTTGCTTTTATGATCTTTACAGGATTAGCAAAATTCAAACAAAAATGGAAGTTTTAAGAACATCAGAATTGCCTAACATAGTGCGTCTTCCCAAGGGACCAGATGGAACCAGGGGGTTTAGTGCCCGGAGGTAGTGGCAGTGGTATAGCCTTCTGGGCAATGAGGGACTCCTGTGTTACTGATTGGTTGAGCAAGAAGCATGAGGAAACCAGAAGTGAACTGTGTAGTTACTGGTGATTTGAGCCAACTTCATATATTTTGGTTTGTTAACGAGCTTGTATGTAGCCTTGTGAAGAGGTGAATCAAATCGTCCATTTCAACAAAACTGTTGTACGGTGGTGCATACCCGAACAAAGCAACAGGTGGTAGTGCCATATTGGCATTGTTGCTGTGATTACTGTAAGTGTGGCTATACTGATCGACGTTAGGTGTGAATGGATGTTATCATGTAGTGTAGCACTAACATATTGATTGATTTTCTTATTTTGTAACTTTCCTTGCTTACTGGTGTTACCGGATCGTTGTATCGAGCACCAGCATTTCTGATTGTACATATATTTTATATTGTTGGACAAAGGCAGATATTTTTATGCATTACTAACCACACATAGTTATCAGAGGTGAGAGAGAGCTGTATTGTGATACTTGGTGTTCTGTGTACTGCAAAGTCCGTGTGTGTGTGGGTGTATATAAAGAAAAGATGTGCGTGTGCTGCTTGCACACAGGCATACATGCAGACACATGCACAGCGGAGTCTTCATTTAAGGTTCAGTTCCACTGATCCCATGTCATTAAATTCAGTGGTGTTAAATGTACCTTGATCTTCAGTTTGTGTTCAGATCTGGAACCTGAATGGGATGTTCACTGTGTGTACTGTGGGTATATTCAGTAGCCGCAGATGGAGGCCTCTCTTGCCGTAGCAGATAGAGGGAACTGGAGTAGCTGCCAGCCCGTGCCCAGTTGAGTGGAGATGTGACGCTGTCAGATTGGATGCTTTCACTGCAATAAGAATTATTGCATGTTTTCTGAATGGATTTGGGGAAGAGGCAGGGGCGTATATGTCACAAGAGCCAAGTCAGATGGCATTACTGTCTGTTTTTTTACTGGCATTTGTTATGATGCTTCGCAGATGAGCAGAATGTTTTAGAACATGGCATGACAATTAAGGAGAGGAAGGTTGTGATACAAAGAGCAATCTTTCCCGATTAAAAGATTGCATTTTCTTCCAGGATAGGCATAAAATGGTGGAAAGCACTTGAAACAGTTCACAGCTGTTCAGTGTTGTAGTTTAATTCTGAATTTGCAGTTCAGAATATGCACGGCAGCATAACACCAACTTATGTCGTGATCAGTGTGTCTTTAAACCCCACTTTGACAGTCTTATTTGTGTAACTGATAACATTAATTAAATTGGAGTGAATAATTCATTTGCACCTTCTTACTTTTTCTGGTGTTTTTTTTTTAATTTCCTGCTCAGAGTTGCAATGTACACAATTTTAATTTGAATTCAAGATTATTCAGCATGGACCAAAATTAAGTTCCATTAATACATTTTAATGAGGACCACTGGAACTGTATATTCACGAGAAAATGTCTGCGCATCGTATTGGTACTTCATTTAACCATAGAAACTAAATTTTTCTATTGTGCCCCTCCCCAGTTTGAAGTACCTTAATCAGTTGTGCCTGCCACTATTATTCCTGTGCATGTGCACAGTCTAGCTGACTGAATGTTGCATTTTTGCAATACTTTTGCCATTGCTGAAAGTTAAATTAAGGCTAACAGCCCAACAGAAGTAGGGAAATTTAAAATTCAGATAGCCAAGTGATGTTTTGAGAGAGGGAGTTTCTCTGAAGTTTTATTATATGAAAATTAATTGTGGGAACTGTTACATAAGCTGAAGTCAAACAGTGTTGTGCAGTGGGAAGTGGGACGCATCAGTGAACTGTTTTTTTATATAAATGCATGACTCAGGAGGTGAATGAGATGACAGTAGTTGGAACATGGGTACGTAAGTTATCTTGTGCTTCATATGGTAAATGTAAGGCCACATTACCTTGCTTTCCCATACATTCTGTACAAGTGTGAGTTTGTGTATATACTTGTGTGTATGTGTTACATATATATGTATATCATGTTGAGCATTGATCATAAATCTGACCAAAATGGTTAATTTATTGTATGATTGGCGGCGGACAGCATATTTTAGATAATGTTTTCAAGCTCACGGCTTTTCAGCTTTTAAACTATATTGAGGCCATGGAAAGAAGAAACACGGATCAACCCTTTCATGTGTGTGTCCTTCAAGCTGTTACCCCTACAGCGTACTTCTCAGTATTCCCCTGCAGTAATTAATTGTACAGCCGTGTCGTCATCAAACTCTATATAGTGTGAGATTGTAGGATTGATGAATTTGGCCAGTCTCATGACAGAAATGTTGAAAGTGATGATAACATTTGCTAATGACACAGGCTTGGGGGGGGGAGGAAACCTCAAGCAGCATTAAGCCTATCCATCCATGGAACGTGTTTCTGTGGCTTCAGTATAGATGGCTTTACTCCCATTGCAACAGACATGTTTTGTTAATTGTATATAATCATTCTGCAAAGGAGTTTCTGTTGTGATGCCATAAAATTTAACTTTGAGTTTCAGTCAATAGTTTGTGGAAGTTCATTACGTGATTAGGTGAGGTTGTCCATTTTGTCTTTTAACTCTTGACGGACCTGTAATACTAGTAACTACTACTTGGTGGCTAGTAGCTTGAAAGTTCAGGTCCGTTTCATGTGTTTGTATTGCTACTGGATGCTTAATGAACACCAATATTGCCACAGTAACTGAACAATAATATTCTCTTATGTCTAGAATATTTAGCATTGAATCATGTCAATTAATGTAAAGGGAGCAGTATCACAATGATAATGAAAAAATTATAAAGTATATCAGTGTATGAAATTATTTTAGCATAAAACGGTTATATGTTGATTTTATATATTTATCTGTGTGTGTGCATTCTCCAAAATGGTCATTATAGTGTCATGGGTGTGAGAATTTTAAAAAACAAACATGATTTCTTCTGTTGATGTTTGAGTGGTTTGTTTACTTGTATGTATTGTCACTTTGCCCCAACTGATGTACTGTATTAGAAATACAGTGGCATAATTTTATCGTAGACTTCTGCAGAATGTAAGCAGAGTGACTCTTGGCTGCTGAATCAATTGTAGTGATAATAACAAGACCAAGAACACTGATGACAACAGCAGATGCTTTCTTTTTTACTATGGCATGTATGTTGGTAGTAATTAAAGCAGGAATGTACACTCATTTCCAGTGGAAGCCATGTTCACTTTTTTCATTCCTTGAAGTATAGAGACATACAAAATGGAGGCGGTGCAGTTATCTTTCATTAACTAGCGCCAGGTAATTTTTTATCATTTGATCTGCAGTTACATGAAGCATTGCTGTGCTCAGACATTTATCTCTGGAATCTCACTATGAAGGTTTGAGTTCAGTCCCAGGTTAGCTTCTGTGGAATAAAGTGACAGTACTGGAGCAAGTTATTCTGTGAACATATCATGTATCACTGGGAACTGGAACAGCCCTTGTATCTGGGGGTCACAGTACCAATGGAAGTAGTCCCGCCACCGCTGTCATCATTCCACCAATGCTTCACATGTTTGAACAGGGGGTGGTACAGTAGGTCTGTTTGGGACTGTAGTGCCAGGGGGCACAGTCTTGCCCCCCTGCCCTCCCCTTCTACCTCTGAAGCTACATGAACCAGAATGAGCACAGGTAACTGTTGCTGCATATATACAGCTAATATACAGTTAGTATAAAATATAGGTCAGCTGTAAACATGTCTGTTAATTAAGGGTATTATGTTGAACATTTTCCAATTTCTACATCTCAGACAATGGATGATGTCCAATATAATATTCATATAAAGAATTAACCATTGTTGCATACCTTAAAGGGAGTGATTTATTAAAATGTTGCCTTAGTCAAACATTTGAATATTCACTTGGGATTGTGGATATTAAATGTCTTTAAGAGAATTATTTGTGGGATATGACATATGGTCTGGTAGAAGTTTCCTGATGTTTTGAAGGAACACGCTTCCTCCATCTTGAAGTTTGTTAAGAGTTTGCAGTGTGCCTACTATTAGCTAGCTAAAGATGGAGAAGTATGTTCTCAAGCGTTGGTAACTTTCTCCTGTAGCCACCACCGAGAGAACCACAAGTGTTTATGAAAAAGTCTTGTTTGGTATTCATAATCACCATTCTGATAGAATGGTTGGTTGCATTACATGTCATATCATCCAGCTGTCATGGTTTTTCCACATAATATAGTGAAGATTTTGTTCCCAAAAAGTAAGGCGTGAAGTGTATAAAGCCGTCTTATTTCAACATTCTTTTTTTTTTTTTCTTATAAGTCTGTGTGGTTTATTTTTTCCTTCAGTGTCTCAGTAGTACAGTACTGAATGGTAGGATGATTTCATAAATTGGAAAGGATTTGGAAGGACATGATGGTGGCATAATCAGAGTACTGCTGCAGTATTCGTCTGGAGAAACTACAGAAACTTAAATATAATCTGTCTTTTCCAAGATTTGAGTCAGACAATCCTCAGATACAAGAAGCAGAGGAGTGGTAATTTGACCCTATAACAGCTTCCAGGCTGACAACTAGTAAATCTTTGAGCTCCCATTATTTTCAGCTTGTAATCAGATTACAAAAAATGGTATTAAGTTCTTTTGCAGTGTGAAATTTGAAATTCAGATATTAATTTTGCACATTTGAATAAATAAAGTTAAATGGCCCTTAAGGAGGTAAGGGGTTAGGAGGGCTTAAGGGTAAGAATTATGGAAATGTATTCCTTTGGGTTAAAATTGACAGTAACCTGAGTTGGGAAGTTTGTATTGAAAGACCCTGTAGTATAATTAGCCATAATTTATAATTAATGGGCTCTTTAAATACATAATATGAATGCAAGAAGAATGTTCTATTATGGTTTGATTTGCCCCATTCTGTCATACTAGACATATACGTAACACAAGGAATAATTGCCCTGTACATGCTTAACTACATAAATAGGTGACAGCACATACCAGGTTAAAGAGGAAATGAAGCGCTAGCTTGTTAAGGGATGCTATTATTCAAGAGAAGATTATCCAAATGAAGAATTCTGTAATATTGGCTACTGATGAGGAAATGTTTAGAATAATGAAGAAGCACTTTGCTGGGTTGATAATGATTTGGCTTTAGCAGAAGTTTAATGTTGGCTGTTAGACTGACGAAGCTGTGTGTTAGAATGTGTGAGGTTCCCACAGCTGTATTCCTAATAAGTTCGTATGTACCATAACCAGTAACGGTATTGTATTTTGATAATACAGATTGAAGTGTCCTATATCAATGAATGAATGACCCTAACAAGTAGAGTATGGGTATCACGCAGTAGAGGGTGGCACAGTACTAGACAGCAAGGTTTGCTTTTACTGAGTAAGGCAACGACACCGGCCATAGAATTCGAGAATTGCACAAGACATTTATAGATGGCATGCGGGTATGCAAAATATGCACGTCTCACCTACATACAGGTCTGATATACTTTGAACTTGAGTATGTACTATGTTTGTGACCACGAGGTTAATGGGTTCGTTTTGGTGTTGTAATTGTTGAGGTTAGACGTTTGTAATTGTGATGACTGTGATTTGTTAAGAACATGTTGACACCTTCAGAAAGTTAAGCTGCGCAGTATACATTCATAGCATGCTGTAGTAGAATTGAGATTTCGTTGAACAATGGAGCTATTTCTTAAATTGCCATGGTACGTAAACATTTCGTCTAGTTTATAATAATTGATTGACTGATTGATTGATTGATTTCGTCACTGTAGATCATTGTACATGATATAGGACAAGTCAAGTTAATTCTGAATATTAACAATTTAATATATGAGTAAGATTAAAATTACAATAGTTACAATTGTTTACAGTTGATTACAATTTAGAATTAGTTAGATATTCTTATTTATGGAGAATTTGATGGAATGAAGATTGGCAGGGGAAACCGAAGTACTCGGAGGAAACCTGCCCCAGCGCCACTTTGTCCATCACAAATCCCACTTGCCCAGATCGCAGTGGTGGGAAGCCAGCGACTAATCGCTTAAGCTATGGCGTGGCCTTAGAATAATGATATGGATAGCTAGTGTAATGTTCACTGCAGATTGGTGCCCTTCTTGATGGCCTGGTACTCTCGATCTCTCTCTAAGTGGCCTACGTAGACGTCCCTCCATCACATGATGTCCTTTCTCTCACATATCCAACATGGTGTCTTGATTCCTTTAAGCAGAAGAGAACTGCGCAGTATACATTCATAGCATGCTGGTATAAGCTCAACATGTCACGTAGTCTTGAATTATCTGGTTATATTTATGTTAACTAGGGTTTATCCCCAAACAAGAAAAACTCATCTATACTATAAAAACAATGTTCAAGTAGAAATGTTTTCAAAGTCTTTTTAAATTTATATAGCGCTGGTATATCTTTTATATATTGTGGCAAGTGGTTTAAAAGATGAAGTCCAACATTATTGAAGTTGTTCTTACACGTACTCGTCCTACATGGAACTATGAATAAGTTGTCTTTCTTTCTTGTATTGTGTGAGTGTACTGCTGAATTAGTAATGAAAACATTCAAGTTGGATTTCATGTAAACTAATATTTCATATATATACAAACATGGTAGAGGTAATATATGTAACAATTTAAAATATTGTTTGCAGCTGGTGGTTTTTTGTATTTGCATTATAGCTCTAATAGCTCTCTTTTGTATCTTAAAGATCAATTTTGCATTCGCTGAATTGCCCCAGAATATCAATCCATATGATAGCAGGGATTGAAAATACGCATAGTATAAAGCGAGAACTGTCTCTAATCCTGATACTTTTTTGACTATTCGTAAGCCAAAACATATTTTACATAACTTACTTGCTAGTGTTTGAGTATGTGTGGACCACCTTAATTTTTTGTCTAACCACATTCCCAAAAATTTTGTATGTTCTGTATAACTGATGACTTTATCATATAGTTTTATTGATGGGCATTCTGGTTGTCTCTTTTGTGGTTGGTGAAAGGATATTGCTATCGTTTTTTCTTTATTAATAATTAATCTGTTATTTTCAAACCACTCTGTGAGTTTATTTATTGTTGCATTTATTTTCCTTTGGACAACATTAACACTATTTCCTGATATAAAAATACTTATATCATCAGTGAAAATTTGTCTCGAGTCATGGCGGATCGTGAACCCGGAACCCTTTTGAACTGATGTGCGAAGGATTTCATTGAAAATATGATGGTCAGCTAAATTCAAGGGCCTTAATGCACCTCTTTTCACCAGAATATCACTATTGATCTCGACCATTTTAGGTCTTTTCGACCTGTATTTAACAGTGTATGAATTACTGTATATCTCAGGTACCCCTTGGTCAGGTTTCATATATATCTGTTTTGGAACTTCTGCCTAGGCAGATGCTCAAGTATTTCTTTCAGCTCTTTGTGACCTATTGTTTGGATGGTATTATATTTGTCTACCTGTATGGGAAACAGAATCAGAATAAGGTGTAACTACCTCAACCCAATGTAAGTTGACATCTGCTTTTGTTTCAAGTCATTACAACAAGAACAAATATAGGTGATAATGTTGTTGCAGTGTTCCTGTGTTTCAGAGGAACATTCACTGCCTTCACGTTTAGGGTACACAATGTAAAACCCTAAAGGCTTGAATATGAATCTTTACTGCTGTGCAAATCTTAAATATTTTTCAAGTTCAAGTATAGCTGAAATATTCTTTTAGGAACATTCGTGAAACAGAAGACGGAAGTCCATGTTGTTCTGTTGATGATATCAGCTTGAAGAAATACTCCTCAACGTACAGAATATTGCATGGAAACTTACAGCAGATATTCAGTGATGATTCATCTTCAGATTCTGATGATGCTGGCAGTCGAAAAAAAGCAAGAAATGAAGGCAGTGACACTCCACAGCAACAACTGAAAGCTAAAAATGATGGTCAAATATGCAAAAAGCCAAATATGGTAAGTATGTTGTGTTTATGAAGATAGACTTGAAATGATTCTGACGATGGTGTATACTGTTCTTCTTTTGGCTTGTTTTGGACTTCAGCCATCGTCTGGTATGTAAAAGACAAAAGACCACGACGTTTCGGAGACTGGATCTGTCTCCGTCTTCAGGTGGGTAGGGAAGGATCAACCTACTGAGTTGGGCCTGTTAGAAAGAGCTAGTCTCAATCACTGGACTTTTGCCTTTTACATACCAGATGATGGATGAAGTCCAAAACAAGCCAAAAGAACTGTGTTTATGAAGTTAAGGAATATTGAGCCTTCTTTGCCTAGACCCAGGACTCATATGCACTGAGTGAGTGAAGTCTACTTATGGATGTGTAATTGTTTCAGCAGCGGACTGGGTACGGCAAGGGACAATATGTTCCTTGCTACAGTGATGAAACAAAAACTAAATATCCCAAAAAGTCATCACTGAATGCTGAACAACAAGCTGTCTATCTCCAGCTGATGGTTAAATATGCAAGAAAGCATTCACCATTTCCATCTCCGATGGAGCAGAAGGAATTAGAGCAGTATGGAGTATGTACACTTTGTTTCAGTGTTAATCTATTGTAAAGCCACAGAATGTTTGTTGTCATCACTGCAATTGAAATGTGCCTCTCACATGAATGTCACTTTGGAATGCAGTGCATGCTGTTAAAATGGAGGTGTTTGTAATGTTAATATAATAGTTACAGTATATTTAACTGCCTTGCAGACTTGTTTAAATGGCGCTCGGCTTGCCCTTGCAGCTACATGCAAAGGCCAGAAAGTTCCTGCCACCGCATTGTTGTCATCTTCATTCCTTCATGTATACCAGTTGTTGCATTTCATTCTGTGGTTGAAGTAACATACAGAAGAGAAATGACCAAATGAAATTGCAGACTTGAAAATGTCTCAGAGATGTGGTACAGCTACTGACAACCTATCAGAGACAGTGAATATTAATATGGCGATACTATTTCCACTTAGAATTCGGCGAGTATATGTGCTGCTTCATCATTAAGCAGCAAAGTAAAGTGTTGAATGCCTGAATGGCATAAAAATTGTCTCTGTCTTCATGAAACCAAGTGACTGTCAAAAACTCCCTGTTAAGCAAGATACATGCTTCATTCAGGGCACAGGAGTGCTGAACCTTAGAAATGGGATGCACAATGCATCGGAGAGTGTTGCAGTGTGAAGGTCATTCATCAATCTTTTTCTAGTCTATTTTAAGGGCCAGATGTCATGATGCAGTGTGTAGTGACTGCAGTTGGCAATAACATTCATCTGCTGTGTTTTCCAGGTACTGCATGACAAAGTAGTGGCAGAACGTTTTGAGTTCACTCATTTTGTGAAGCAGCAGTGTGCGCTGTCGCAAGACAGGCACTTGCTGATCAATCCAGACGCAAGCAAATTTATTGAAGAAGTATGGCAGGTAAGTGTAAAAAGTAGTCCATACTAGAGAATGCATATTGAAATCAGCTATAAATTCAAAAGTATGATACTTTAATCATTTTTATTATACATAATTCTAGGGTTGTCATTCCCTACTCTGGAAATATGAGTGACACTCAGAATGTAATTATTTATATTGATGAGCAAAGTGTGCAATTCTGTTATGTTGATTTATCTCGCTAATGTTACTCAGTGACAGAGTTGCTATCCCAGAACAATACTGTCTTCCTAAGTAAAGAGATGTTTGAGAGTGTGTAGTTGCAGTTTATTGTACTCATTCATTGCATTTTACACATGCAACCAGTGATGATGTTGCTCATAGCAGTGGTGCATTTCCTAGTTGTCTTGGTAGGCAGACTGAAACTTAACATTATGGTTCTATGGCTTGCGATGGTATGTAGTTTGGTAGATAGGTGCCAACCTTTTGGAGGAAGTTTGTGCCTCCATCTTCAGGGTAGAAAATTACTCTTATATCCAGAAGATTCCTCAGAATTGATATTTATGTACCAAACATTCCAGAAGACCACTGCCATGAGATCCTTGTATCTGTTTTTAAATCTTACATGTGGTCATTAAACAGGTTATCAGGATATAATTGGATTAAAATGGATTTTGTGAGTGGTGGATTGAATCTCGGTGTTCAATTGCCAGAGAGTTATTTCATTATCCCATTACATGAAAAAAATAAAATAAAAAAAATAGCAAATTGTAAATTGCACATATGTTGTTATGTGTTTGAGTTTTATGGGTTAGGTTTAGTAAAGTGTTTCATACAACTGTTAGTTACAGACCTGCACTGTTTGAGCTTGTTTCAAAGGCAAACCATGTGGGTAGTCAAATCAAACTTTTGGAAGCATGTACTAAAGTTTTTATATGCAAAATTAACAAATGCATTGGTTATCTACATTTTTATGTCCTTCCTTCAACATTTCCACTTATGTGGATCACCTAGCAACCTAGCAGTCCTGTCTGTCGATCTGTCTCTTCCCAGAGCTCCTTGCCCTCTGTTTCCATTCATCTCCTTCAGTCCTTTGGTGTGACATCATTTCTAACCTGTAGCTTGTTTTTAGTGTCAGTTTGAATTCACTTGTCTGTTACAGCATCGACTTTCCAAAGTGGCAAGATACCCGGCAGATTATGAGCCTCTGCAACTGCTGCCATTAGTGTACTCTGATACCAGAAGACCTGTGATTATGAAAATGGAAGAAGACTTATTGGAAATTGTGAGACCTGATGCGCTGCTCTTTCCAGTTCTATTTCGCATGGCAGCAGATCAGTCTAAACTTGGTGGTTGCATTGCACTGCAATTTTGTTCTTACTTGAATTGATTTGTATTTGCATATGCTGTGACATTCGAAATGGTCACTGGCTTTAGACTTGCCAGTGCCACGGCCCACTTCATCTAACCTTCCAAGCCTCAGGGTTATCTTCATAATATTTAAAAACTTAATTTCTACCTCACAGAGAACATCATCACCATTACAAATGTCTTAAAGTCAGTGTTGTTTAGAGAAATAATCATTGTGTATTGTGAGAATTGTACAAAACACATAAATTCACTATGTGAACAGAAGATGAACACTAAAATTTATAGTATGCATATTTCTGGTTTTAATACACTGTTAAAAATTACGATTTTGATCTTGAGGTTGGCTAGCCTGACCAAATTTTTCACTGATTTCCTCACTCCATGAAAATCGCAGAAGAGTATTTAAAAATACGCTACAACTGCTGCATTCCATTAGTCAAGGCTATTTAATCTAAATAACTGAAAAGTGTAATTAATGACATCCCCTTACTTAAGGTCTAATGAAACTTCATAACAATTCTAAACAATACGGAAACATCCAAGCGGTTGCTGAACTCTGATTGGATGGTCAGTGGAGTGGGATGTAGTTAATGAGCCGTGATTGGATAAAGGAAGGAGAGGAATGGTAGCCAACTGGTAGCATCCACTTGGTCAGTGGGCCACGATTGCATGAAGACAGCAAGATGCTAACCAGTGGTTAGTGAGGCCTGGGATGTGAACCTACTGTGTACTGTAATTTTAATATTCAGTTTACTTTAATATTCATACATAAATTACTTTACTTTTCCTGTACACTGCATTTTATTTTTCATCTTTCTAGAATACAAAGTGTGCTTGGTGCCCTGTTAAATCCACAGTCAGTCTTGGTAATGATGACTGTGTCTCTGTCTTTAGGGCTCGTTTCCATTTATACACCTGCCAAAGTTTAAGGGTCCAGTACACGTAACTACTGATTATTCAAGCATGAGACACAGTTTCCCACCTGAATCTGTTGCTACAAGAAACACATACAAAGTTCCAGGTAAGATGCAGTAGTGCTTTGAACCTAGATATAGAGATCTGTCTGCAGCGCTTTCCAGTAATTCATGTGTCGCAATGTTCCGCGTGGCACACTAACACATTGTAAGCAGCCTGATTTCATGTCGTTACATTTTATTTTAGATTTGGGCCTGTGTCTCTTTTTATTCTCTTGAGCTTGAATTCAAAATGTAGTACATAGATGAGGTGGAATAAAATGGTGAAACGTGGTCCATGGTGTCAGTACTGCAGGACATGTGAAGCAAGGAGCGAAATATTGGGACCGCGCTTTGAGTTTTGACTGCAGTGGGGTTCCGGTGTGTTTATCTAAATGCTGAGTGCATAGTCATCTCGTACATGAAGTCGTTTGTGGTCATACTTTTATTGTCTGTCATATATTCTCTGTTTCTGCCAAGATCTGGCTGTGCAGTTCAGTTGGTCTGAATGTGAGCGTTAATATTTATATATTCATTATTCTGACAGTCAGTGAAGATGAGAATGCTGAACGTTTTGCTGTAGCCAATGGAGTTCATGTGGTGATATCGTCAAGTGGTTTGAAACATATTACTGATAATCATCCAAATTTTGAAAGAACTTGGGACTTACCAGTAATAGTGAAGGAACATGCGAAATGCGGTAAGATATTTTGATTTGTATTTCAGTGCTTAATACTAATTGATTACTTTTTAAAGATGTATTAGCTCATGAAAGTCCTTAGTGCCATGTTATTATTGGTTGTTATTTCTTGTGTGGACTCTTATGTCCAGTTCTGGTCTGTTAGACCTTCCTGAGTAGTGACAAAGGAGTTAATTCCTGAAGTGGCCTCCATACCACCTAAATTTTAGCGTAACTGTCATGTTAGTAACATTAAAGAAGGCAGGAGTTTGGAATATGTTGTGTGAATGACTTACATTAGATTGTCTACTGCATGTACTGATTTTCTGGACATTTTCTGCAGATGGATGTGACTGATGAAGTTGTATGAGTCTAAACAAAGAGTCCGTACTCACAGGAAACTGAAACGCAAAGGAAAATGAATATTTTTTTATACTACATGTAAAACTTAACTGCTCTTCACATAAGAATTGTTTCTTTCTTGCAGATGATGAAACTGTTAAGGTTGTGTATGTGGACAAAGCTCTTCCTCCACGGTCTTTGACAACAGTTGAAAAGAATCTCTGGTTCCATAAGTTTGGAGTGAAATCCTTGCTGTACCCCAGAAGAGGACCGAAGTGCTTTCAGTAAGTGGCAGTGACATGGTGTTATTAAGCAGACCATGAATGTTGTGTGTGTGTCTGCTATGTACGTTATAACAGACAGTCCTTTACATTACATCATTCGGCAGTTTTTACTGCTCAATTATTTGGTACTGGAACATGAATATGTTTGTCTCTCCTGTTCACAGAATCCTCACATTATGTGCAAAAGTATCTGTAATCATCGCAAAAGCAGCTCAGTGCTGCAGATATTGAGAGTGTGAATACTAAATTTCAGTGCTTTATATACATGTATTGAATGTCATTGTTTCAGACTGCGAAGCAATGGACCAGCCGCCAAGTATTCTAAATTGATCAACAGCAAAGAGGGCTCTGTGTGTAATACAGAAAGACAACTGCTTTGTGATACTGAGGAAACAGCTCAGGCAGACTGCCCCAGAAGTGAAGCAGATGTATCTGCAAATACTTGTAAGGGTAAACACAGCAGCCGTGAGTGCGAGTCAGATGTGTCGACAGATGCTGAAGACAGACTGGTCATTGATTCCGGTGAAAATACAAGCATACCTACTGAAGGTGGTGTGAAGAATGTGCCCCTGAAATCATCTCAAAAGAGTGATGTTGAAAGTATTCGCATAACAAGAAGCAAGGCAAGGTTATTGGCGAAAATGTCATATGTTAATCAAAGTCTTTGCCAGAAAGCAACTCAGTCACACAGAGAATGTGATTTGGATAATACGTTTTTCTGTGAAGACACTCCTAGGACTACAAATAACATTGATTTGGGGAAGTCATTAGAAAATGTAACATCACTGGGTTATTCTGGCACTAAAGAGAACACATCATGTTCAGAAGTTACAAACAAAATGTCTGAGGACATTATTGTGCCTGAAGATCACACTACCACTACAAGTGTAAGGACCCAATATGAACGTTGTGCTGTGGATGCAGATAAGAAAGAAAAGCAGAAAAAGGAAGCAGGTTTGACTGGTTTTACTCCCCCAGGTCCTGGGTTTAATGTTTCATACAAAGTGTGGAAACTGAGTAAGGACGAAGGTCATACAGGCGATTGGAAGGAGGGTTTTCTGAAAGGAGATAACAGTAATCGTGAAATTAAAGTTCTGGTGAGGTGCAAAGTGGATGGTTGTGAGGTAAATATTTAGTACTGATTGGAAATGTGAATTGTTTTTTCCTATCTTTGACATTTCTTGAAAGTCTGACACAAATTACAACCAGGTCTGTGAGTTAGTTGGGCCCATTTAAAAGAGTTGACCTCAATTACTGCTCCAGTGATTGGTCTGACTAGCTCTTTTTAATAAGCCCAGTTAAACAGGAACCTTTCCTCCTTAATACCTTAATGGAAATGTTAGGTTCCCAAGTACTGTGTTCAAGAAACAGAAGACAATGAACAGTTTCTGAATTTTCTGTACTCCTTTTACAGTGTGCAGTGGACATAGCATTGTGTATTAGATATTCCAGTTTATATTTATTACTGGCATGATGCATGCTTCTGTTCGCCACATAGAATGGTGGTAGAACTGTTGCCTTCTGTTTTATCTCCTCTTCTTTCTGTCCACGTGATCTTCGTCTAAAGCATCCTTGAGGGATCATCACACCTTGATTAGGCGGCCTTATAGAAGACTCCTGTGTGTTCACAGGATCTCCGGAATGGCGATTTTCGTTCCCATCATGTGTTGGAAATAGAATCTAATAACTTTCTTTTTACGATGTAATGGTTGACATCACTGCTTGATGGTGATGCACCAACAAAGATGTTTTAGACAAACCATAATACATCTTGGCTGTGGCTGGGTACATTATCATCACATTCACCAGACTCAAATTTGATCCATGGACATGTGGTGGAATAGTTGGTTGAAGCACTGTGCTACAAGCCAGAAGATTGCAGGTTCGAGTCCCGATGAGGTGGATTTTTTTTCACTTTACCTAATCCTTCCGGCCGCGCTGTGGCCCTGGGGGTCACGCAGTCTCTCGCAGAAATGAGTACCAGGAATCTTACTGGAGGGTAAAGGGTGGCCGGCATGTAAGGCTGACAGACTTACTGCCATCTGTGTTCTGATTGTCTAGAGCAAATGTGGGAGCCTCTACATCTGACATTCCTATGGGCCTTCATGGCCTGTTACAGGGATAGCTTTTATTTTAACATTGCAGGGATTGTTCTATACATTTTCATATAATGGACTGCTCTTGACAAAACCCAGACCAGTGAACTTATTCTGACAGGGTATGTCCATCATCCTTACGCATTTCCACTTTACTGTGTAGATCAACCGTCATGGAGCATAGCATCTCCATATACAATTTTCATTTTGTGCATCCTGTTGTGTTATTATATACAGATCTTTATTGTAGGCCGTCATAACACAGCAACATTATGGTCAAGGTTAAAATTACCTTAGCTACATGTTTCGGCTTTTAAAGCCATCATCCGCTCTGTTGGGAATACAAAATTGCAACAACTGACTTGATGATGTGCAATATCACATGAAAAGTTTTTAACCATATTTTCCTTCATAACTTTCGTCTTATAATAAGTTTGTAATTCATTGTATTTTATAATGTAGCAGTTACCAAGTATCCAGCTTTACTGTCACAATGAAATTACAGTTGAATAGTGTGTGAATATAGTAGTCATGTGTTTGCCTGATGATGGCTTTAAAAGCCGAAACATGTAGCTAAGGTAATTTTAACCTTGACCGTTCTGTTGCTGTGTTATGACGGACTCCAATAAACATCTGTATCTGTGTCTCCATTTGTCTTCCCAGAGCCCCTCCCCCTCAGTTTCTTCCCTGCTTCCATGTGACACCTTTCCTGGCCTGTTGCCCGGGTGTTCACAGTCTATTTCTTTGGGAGGGGAGTGGGGTTTATACACACACACACTCATTACACTTTTATCATATGTACTTGCAGATAAAGGACAAGAAAATTCAGAGGTATTGTGTGGTTCCAAAATTGGAATATCAGACTGAGTATGGTGCTCAGTGTCTGACTCGAAGTGAACTAACTCGACAGTGGATCTCGTTATATGTAAGACCTGGAGCTGATTTATATAGAGGTATGTTGCTTTATTTTGCAGTGAGGTGGAACTGGATCATTATTTCTAATGTCTCCTTAAAACTACAGAACATATGAGAACTGAAGGTTTGCTTGTTCACCTGTTCTGACAAAAGAGTCTCATGAAGTCAGAAACTGCTGAGTCCCCTCCGCAGTACTGGCAGCAGCGAGGCAGTAACTCAAGGGTAACAGTGCTTATATTGATGGACTGTAACACTAGATGTGCTGGACCCACGCTCTTGCACCATCACGTTAGTGTTACACAAAGCCAGTGGATTTAAAATGGAAAATCTCTGAGTGTTATTATAGCAGGTGAAGGGGCTAATAGGGGATAGAGGGTCAGTGTTTTATATCTCGTAATTTGGACAGTCACAATCATGGAAATGATTTTTCACATTATGTTGGCAGTACGTGTGAATGCCTGTACTTCGGAAGTCATGATGATTGAACAGCAGTCCCTGCATGAAGTGGCTCAGCAAGCCGGCCACCCTAACAGTACTGCGTTCGGAACTCTTTACAGTCTGCTGCTTGGTTTGGTGGACCTTGAGCCAGGAGCTTATCTTCTTTCTCACACTCCAAAGTTGGGTGCATTTGCTAATCTGCGACAAAGTGTAGGGTAAGAAGACAGTATGTCAATTATTCTGCTGTATCATTTGTTGAGGCGACACGTGGTAGCATAGTTGGTTGAGGCACTGGATTCGATTCCCAGTGAGGTCATTGGATTTTGCAGTTGACCTAATCCTTCCAGGCACAGTATGGCACTGGGGTTGACTCAGCCTAGGTGGTAAAGGGTGGTAAAGGGAGGCCGGCGCATAAGGCTGACAGCTTCACCACCATTTGTGAGCCGATCATCTAGAAAATATGGAAGCCTTGATGTCTCACAACCCTGTGGGCCTCCATGGCCTGTTACAAGGATATCTTTATCTTTCTTTTTTACCATTTCTTGTATCACTTTCGACTAATGTGAAGCCTGGGACATGGCCAACACTGGCAGAAATACATGGGGCACATTATCCATATCATACAAAAACCCCAACATAATGATCCTTGAAGAAAGCTGTCTTCTGGGATTTGGCACCGTGTATATGTGGTGTTAACCGACGTTTCAGAGGAACGTATCGCCTCCATCTTCAGGGTAGAAGGAAACAATATAAGAAATCTGCATGCGAAGAGACTGTGAGAACTGGTAAAAGCAGACTGGTGTTGGACATATACACAGCTATGTGAGAGCAGTGAAGAAAGGACCGGCCTCTGGCCGGTTAAAGATAGCCTGGGCCTAAGGACACCGGGTGTATACAGTATCCCATGCGAGCGCGGGAAGGTCTATATTGGGCAGACAGGCTGCTCCGTGGACATGAGGTTGAAGGAGCATCAGCGGCACATCCAGACAAGTCGGCCGTAGCTGAACACAGCATCGATCTGGGATACCGTATTCAGCTTCAGAATACCTCCATCCTCACCACCAAGACCCGCTATATGGATCGCATTATTAGGGAAGCCATTGAGATTGAACTCTATCCTGAAAATATGAACAGAGAGGGGGGCTTTTGTCTCAGTAAGTCATGGAAGCCTCCCATCTGCTCTCTTAACCCCCCCCCNCCTTCCCCCCTTCCTTCTCTGCTCTCACATAGCTGTGTATATTTCCAACACCAGTCTGCTTTTACCGGTTCTCACGGTCTCTTCGCTTGCGGATTTCTTATATTGTTTCCTTCTACCCTGAAGATGGAGGTGATACGTTCCTCTGAAACGTTCGTTAACACCACATATGCACAGTGCCAAATCCCAGAAGACTGCTTTCTTCATAGTCACTGCCATGAAAGCCTCAAATCTTACATAATGATCCTTATATTATTTAAGGTTCTCACAGCAATGGTTATGAAGAGTTCTGTCTTCTGGGATGTAACACTGTGTCATCTGGTGAGAGTCAACTGATGTTGCTGCAATAGATTATTCACAGCTGAGTGCTGTCTCGGATGCAGACATCTCTTTCTTGGGCATGCAGTTATACTAGCCCAGCCTCTTGATATTTCCGAACCATATTAACCGTTGTTCATTTCTGATACCAGTATTTTTTTACAGTTCACTGGTAATGTTATTTGCTTGCATATTTTTTCAGGCATGGCCGCTTCAAACTCCATGATATGTACAAAATAGATCCAAAGGCAACCTCAGTAATCGAGGGTTCGTTATGGATCCCAATTGATCATAATGTTGTGACTCCATTTCACAGGGCTTGTGACAGGGTGCCAGGAACGTTCCCACCGACTCTCTTCATCAGAGGTACAGCACTACTACTGCTATGTGTTACAAAGTTTGTTATTGGATTTTGCTTTCACAAATAAGATTAATCCTGTACCACCAGTGAGGAACACTGTGGTAGGTTGCCATGATCCAAAATGGCCAATGCTTAGATCCTAGTTTTCTGTGCCTATTCCTGTGGGTAAAGGGCTGCCGGCATGTAAGACTGACAAGCTTACCGCCATATGTGAGCCGACTGTCTAGAAAATGTGGGAGCCTCAACATTTCACAGCCCTGTGGGCCTCCACGGCCTGTTATGGGGATACCTTTACTTTTACTGTATAATATATATATGTGTACAGGTTAGTTTATGACCTTATTGATGTCCCTTCATAGTGTGAGATGATGATAATCACAGTGACTTGAAACGACTCCGTCACAAGGTGTCACATCATCAGGTCTTCAGTTACTTTACTTATGTAGGGCACATGTGCATGATGCGTTGTTATCAACAACAATGATACTATCAGCAGTTTCTGTTAATGCATTCATAGCTGTGTTCTTGTTACTGAACACTGGACCATCATCTTGTTTATATTTTCAGGAAAACCTGTTTCAAAGAAAAAGAAGAAAAAGAGGAAGAAAAACAACAAAAGGAGGAACAGAAGTTGTCAGAATAAGGATACCGCAGGAACAGCTCTGTCTGACTGAAATGTACCTCACTTATGTTTTCCTTCCCAAGCAGTCAGAATATTTGTAATAGATGTGAAATCAGAATATTGCGTGTTTCAGCTTTGTAACATTTAATTTTTGGGTTTCAGTTAAACCCTTCCCCTAATTCTAAATCCCAAATTGCAGTAAGGATAAATGGAGTAAACTGATAATTGGGGATTCTGTGAGCTTAGGTAAGATTGTGTTTCTCTTGATTAAAAGAAAATCAACATAATTCACATGTTCATGACATGACCAACTCAGACATCCTCAGGTTTGTATTTATTTATCATTATATACATTGTTGTCTCTCCTGCTTTTATTAGTTGGTACCTTATTTATATTGATTTTCTCTTATTGATGTTTAGTAGAAGTACGATTTGGTCTTCTGTCAGCTGCTACCTTGATGTAAGTTATTGCTATTTTGCATAATAAAATTATCATACAGAACCAGTTAGAGAAGCAGGTGATTCACACACAGTCACTTCAGCAGAAGGTCAATGCTGAGATGTTGCACATACTTTTCCTGGATCCAGTTCACCTTGGTTACTTTGAAACAAAACTGACTGTTGCTCAGAACGCCATTATGTTGGTTTCTGAATACTGAACAAACACAGAAATCCATCTGATGGATTAAATCAGTTTCAAGAAAACTGACATTTTTCATTTGGGCCCTAGTGTGTACCTTATTTTCTTGATGATGTCACCCTTGCAATTTTACTTAGGGATGTGATCCACATAAATTACTAAAATGTAATCAAAATCGTTAGGGTTGTTTTCAAGAAAATCATCACTTTGTGTGATGATCCATTGAACCATTCAGGAGCTACCAAGGTGCACATTGATACATATACACAGCATTCTAAAACCATTTTCTCAAGAAGGTTGAAAATGTGTAAATCTGTCAAAATCTTGAAATCTCTTTTTTAATCATGGTCGCAGTACCTTCTCATCATATGTACCATGTACCTGTGATAGTAATATAAATGTTGTCAGAGCAAGAACATTCATCTGTCTTCATATGAGCTAAAAGTTTGTGAGACTACATACACATGCTATTTATTCTGCCTTAGGGTCATAGTTGTGTATTGGAAGTATGTTTTACAGAAAATATTTTGCTTGTCTCTTTTACAGTCTATGTCACTTCTCATGATGCATCTCAAAAGTTCTTGTTTAAACCCATAGAATTTAATTTCAATTTTGTGTGAGAGTACTTGTGGAACATGTGTTCTGCAACAGCATTAAATTATGACTGGCAATTAACCATCTTCATGGATGTGGTGCCGTGTAGCCTGGTAGATATTTACTGACCCAATCACATCATTTAAAATGCAAATTATGGTATTGATCAACCGCTAGCATATTACAGGTGGTTTTTGCTTCCTTTTGTCTATCATAATTTTAGGATTAAGGTGAGACTGGGTCCCTTGGCACTGAAGTCACATGTGGCCCTTTTGTACCAACTGAAGTGTTCACAGGAAAAAATGCCTGTGCCAGTTTGTCCATCACAAGCCCCTGGATTGGCCTTGGCCTCTGAGAACCCATTTTAATCGAATACCAGAATATGAAATGAGATCTTCACACATATAGCAATTAAAGAAGACAGCCTTAGCCCCAAAATGTGACCATTTTGGACACAGTGATCATATTCACCTTTTTCATTGTTTAGGTACATACAGCCATATTGTAAAGTGTCACAAAAAAAAAGCAGTTTTCATTCACTCTGTACATAACAGCAGCACTTAAAAAAGATGAAGCTGTCACATGAGGCAGGCAGGAATGCCTATTCATATTGTGAAATTCACATAAAGCAATATTTTTACTGAGATATATAAACACAGGGCAGAATCTTGAGAAGCTGACTGTCTTCAGCAGTCAAATTCTTTACTAATATGAAACTGGAAGGGTCCAGTATCATGTGCACAAAAGTACTCACTGCACCTTCCAGAGACTTCTGTTCTGCTTTTACCTAAAACCTTGTAAGCATTTCTCATTCCCCAGCTGCTCCATGCATATAACTTACCTTGATCTTGTCAGGTTTGGTTAAAAAAAATGAAACTTGTGTAATTTTCTGTCATCCTGTTCATTCCTCAACTTTGGGGCCCAGTATTAGTCAGCAAGTATCACACCAACATAAACCAAAAACGGTCTTCTAACTTTAGGTTTTCACATAGGAAAGAAGAAAATATTTTCAACTAAATTGCTCTTTGTGAATGTGACTTTATCACCATTGTTCTGCAATACTTTGAACACTGCTACATTTTAAGGAAATTGCCTTGAAGACTCGCAGGGGTTTACAGCAGCATGTTTTGTCCAATACGTTGACAGTATCAAGAAGAGGCTTCTTCTGTTGAACTCCTGGTCTTGATTTTCTTCGAGCTTTACAGCACATTATAAGCAATGGTGATGAAGCAGCCCCTTGATGCAGATCTAAATAACTGGAGACTTCAAGACATCTATATGTTCACTACTCTAATCTTCTGACAAAATTAAGAGCAGAAAGGACAACTCCACTTAATTCAATTTTCTCTTTATTGATGAACATTTTGATCCAAGAAGTACAAAGCAGAATTCTCTTTTTAATCCTGTTCATTATCAGAGTCTAAGGAAGTCATTTCTACATTTCGGACACTGGTTAAACAGGTTACAAATTTTAAATTAAAACCATTACGTACAATAACCGAGCGCACTGAGTGCATTTTTATTTGCAAACAAAAAGTATTAGTATTATTAGTTGCAATTTGATAGAGCTGAAGGTATACTGTTACATATATCTGAAGCTTACCTACACACAATGTGAATATCTGGGCAAGAGCGAATGATGTATAAACACAGCATCAGTACATAAATGTCAACAGTAAATGAGATTACCAAACTACAGCACAATGTTCAAGCTCCAGTATATGATAATTTGAAAATCCAAGGGCAGTAAAAATATATGTGGATTACTCCTTCATGGCATTAACAAACTTTAAAAAATATACAAGAAACAAAAACAAGATTCCAAATGTGTTGAAGAAAAACATCTGTATGTGAAGACTACTACAATTACATTGGAACCTAGGGACATTTTAACCTCTGCATTCAATATTAGTCACATCACATCAATGACCAATTTGGAAGAAAATAAATATAACATCCCAGTCTCCCACTAGATGGAGTATTAATACAAATCACATTTTCACTCTGCACAGGATTGGGAAAAGAAAGTATTACATCACACAGTAACTAGATGTTCAATAATTTAAACACTTCTGCATTATTTACTGAAGATGCAATGAAGTTGTTACATACATTTCAATTTCTCACTGCAACTGTTTCATGCACATATATGGTAATAACTGGATGTTGCACAATTTGTAGCGTCCAAGGTAGTAACACCGTTAATTATGAAAGTTTCTTTGCTTTCTGATACAATGTGTCTACAACTTTTCCCATGCTATGAATTGTCTCGAGAGCTGTCTCATATGTCTTGTCAACAGGCGTTTCCTCAAACACAATTAGAACGCCTTCACCCTGATCCAATATTCCATGAAATTTCTTATCCAGAATCATCTGTGACAGCTTCTTCTCAACCTGCTGAGTGGGCAATTTGATGGACTGAGAGATGTAATCAACCTGGACCCGTGAATATGGCTCAATGATGCGACAAAGATTCTGCTCCAGCATGTTGTCGTAAAGCGTTCCAAGATGTGCACGTACAATAACATCATCCTCTAACTCAACCTTATAGTCTTTCACTGCTTGTTGAAACTCTGCTAGAGACCTCTTGTGACTTGCTTGTGCTACAGACTTCATTGCTTCTATTTCTTTTCCAGCATACTTCAGAGCAAGCTTTCCACTGATAATCTGCTGTACATCTTCAGGGTTATTCAACATTATTTTGGACAACAGCATGTATTTCAGTGCTGTTAATGCCTTAAGACTCTCAACACTGTCATAACCTTCAAATGCCTCATAGAAGTAGGAATATGCAGTCTTAAAATCCCTTTCATCTGCTGCATGCAGGATACCAGATTGGAGGTCTAATGCTGCTTGTAGTTTTGGTGGGCAATAAATTGCATTGGCTGTTGTTCGTGCAGAAGTAAGGGCTGCTCTTGCCTTTGGGAGATTACTCAAGGCATGGTATGTTTTGCTTTCCAGCAGCTGAACTTCAACTAACAGATTCTTATCGTCTAATTTTTTCAGTTCCTTCAACAGTGTTGAACCAAGTGAAAGTGCTTCTGAAAACATCCCTGTGTCGAAATATAGCGCAATCAGACGAGCTTCGAGTGACTGTCTCAAGAAAGTTCTTCTTTCTTCTTTTGCCCATTCTATACATTCTTTGCATAACTGTACTTCTATGCCAATTCCTGCTTCAAGGTCTAGGAAAAAGTCGACAAGAGACCTCACCAACTTCGCTGCTTTTGCTTTACTTATGAGCGAAAGGAAGGGCCTTGTGGCCTTGATGAGATCCGCTAATTCTTTAGCTTTACCCTCCTTTTTATATAACTCACCAAGTTCCAGAATACGTTGTTCCTTCTGTCGGATATTATCTTCATCATTGTCTGCAATTTCTTGTTCCTGCTCTATTTTGTTTAAAAGATGAATTCCTTCGTCCATATTTGTTGTGGACACTGCCCGTAATCTTTCAAACATTACAGCACCCGCCATCTTTACTAGAAATCTAGATTCGCTCCGTCATCGACTCATGGCGGTACGTCACAGAACAGAAAAGTGAACGTCGTCCTACCAGTTGGCGCATTTCAATTTCTTCTTGTATAGTGTCAAATGTGAATCGAAATATCGTATACAATTCCGTTATATGCTAGATAATTTTTTAAAAATAATTGTAATAATGGGAATTGAATACAAATCATTTTAGTATTTATCACTTGGCTACAGAGATTGTTGAATTCTACTTCTATCGTTCCTTTATTGCTATTGGTTCAACCCTGCGCTCCAGCCAATAGATTGCCCAAAGCGCCAAAAGTTATCCAATAGGAATAGATTATGATGGGCAGAAGTACATCCGTCGGAAATCTACATCGCGTAGCAACCTTTGTCTAGCGAGTTCGCCGATAAGGAAGAAGCCATTTTAAGTTTAGGAAATTGGGTTATATGTACCGGGTAAAAGGCTTCGGTTTTTTGTTCTACCTTTCGAGGCATGAGTGACAGGGAGGTATGTATGTACTACAGAGCGATGTAGTGTTGCGTTTTAAATATTATGTTGCATTTAAAATTAAATATTAGCCTTAAACAAAATGAATAGGTGTATGCTTGGAAGAAGCCACGCTATGATGGCGGTTAGTCGGGAAGGCAAACTTATCGGTTGTTGGATTTTTATTGATTTTTCATTGTGCAGTTGTTGTGCTTGCTTAAAATGTTTGCATTTCTTATTTACATAGGATATAGTATGAAGTGAAAGATTCATTAAGAGTCCGGTTCAAGGTTTTTTTTTTCTATTTACAGCATAGCCCAAGTCATAGCGGTTCTAATCACAGCCCTCCGGCCAATGATAAGACTCCCTCTCCAGCAAGATCGAGGGAACACAGCCGAAGCAGATCACATTCAAATAGTCAACACAAGTCTCATCACAGAGGCAGATCTTACTCACGTTCCAGGTAACCGTTAAAAATATTAATATAACGTACATATGTTTTTACATTTTGAAACGCGTGAATAGTGTGGGTATTCTGTGCATTTTCCCAGAATTAAGTGAATGTTTTATGGGGTGCATCCATGTTTATCAACAGCTCTGCTAATTATGCATATTCCATCAAGTTTGTTTCATTGAAGTTATGTTGTTAGAATTGTGAATCGTATGTAGGCTAATCATACTTAATTCGATGGAATTTCCATGCTCCAGGAGTCATTCTCGTTCACGAAAGATGTCTTATCGTGGCCGCTACAGGTCACGGAGCCGTTCCCGGTCTCCAAAACGCTACAAATCCCGTTACTCCCATTCACGTTCCCGGTCCTACAGTCCCCGTGGGAAGTACTATGGATACAGTGATCGACGGAAGGAATTCTACCGGAGTCATTCCCGCAGTCCAATGTCTTCTAGACGTCGACACGTGGGCAGCAGAGTAAGTCTTTATTAATTTTGAAAATCAGCTTCATGGTAAGGTATATAACAAATTTCACTGATTTGTTTTTCATTTCAGGACAATCCCCAGCCGAGCCGTTGCCTGGGAATATTTGGACTGAGTATTTACACTACAGAACAGCAGTTGCATCATATTATGTCAAAATATGGGCCTGTTGAAAGAGTGCAGGTTGTTATTGATGCTAAGGTGAGTAATCTGCCTTACAGATTTAGCTCTCTCAGACACAGTTATATCACATCATGGTGATGGGAGTGAGCAGGGTGTTATGGCTTATAGAACTGAACACGTTATGAACATCACTGATAAATGTGAGAACAAAGGCAGCAGATACATAGGAAGTAAAACAATTTGCATTATTGAATGTGTTTTGATTCCTGTGAAGTGAAATTGTTGCATATGTGCATGGGAGGGTGCAGTATTGAGTGTGTGAGGTTGGGTCCCCAATTCTTAAAAATTCTGTACAGTGTGTCCAGTAAGCTCTGCCCTTCTCCCGCGTGCACACGTACACACACCGCTCTTCAGATGGTAGCTGCTTATGTGAATTTGAGAAATTTGAAGTCATATCCATTGTCTGATTCAGTGAGAGGGAAATTTATTCCTATTTTTATATTTGACTTACGTTCACATCAAGAAATAATCATTCACCTGCCTTGTATTGCCTGTTCCCCCTTCCAAAATTTTGCTTTGGGATTGTATTTTAGGAATATGGTCTGAAAATACTCCTCTGCCAAAGGGTTACCGCAGCAGTGGTGCTTGTAATAATGATAATATATCATTGTTTGCAGACTGGACGATCAAGGGGATTCTCTTTTGTGTACTTTGAGAGCTCGGAAGATGCGAAAGTAGCCAAAGAGCAATGTACGGGCATGGAGATTGATGGTCGAAGGATCCGTGTGGATTTCTCTATTACTCAGCGCGCTCATACTCCCACCCCTGGGATCTACATGGGGAAACCCACATAGTAAGTAACAGATTTTGAGACAGGCTTCATTCAGGTGGGGTGAGTCACCTTATTAGCCTTTTCAACTCTTTGTACTGCCACTGTTTTAGCAAGCACTGGAGAGCGTGAAGCTGTCTGCTGCTGAGCCAGAGTGGTTGGGGCTACCACCATGCTCAGCATAGGGGCATGTTAACATTGGCATTGAATGCTGCAGTTGTTTGGGGAAGGGGAGTTTTGAAACCATTTTATAAGAATTTGATTTGTTTCATTCTTGTCCATCACACTTAACATTTTATGAGACTTTGTTATTGAACCTTGTGGTTTAGATAGTGTATTATTGAAAATGGTCCTCTAACCCTTTATATGCAAAGTATTGAAGAGGCCTGCCAAGACTTGTACATTTTGGATTGTATTTTGAGCCTTTTGGAGTGTGCCTGTCAGGCCTTTGAGGTACATGGCAGTTTATTGCATCTGTCACATCCTTCCTTTTGGTGTTGAACCGCGTTTCACATCCGTACAGTACGTGTAGTACAGCCATTTCATTAGCTATAATTGAAATTTTGCTCCAGTTGAAAGTCCTGTGAGAACTGCCTCTGTGGTCTAGTGGTTAAGAGTTCCTGGCTACAGATCCAGAGGTCCGGGTTCGATTACCAGCACTATCAGATTTTTTCTGAGAAGTAATGGGGTCCACTCGGCCTCGTGATGATAATTGAGGAGCTATTTCAAGGAAATAGCGGCTCCGGTCTAGAAAACTGAAGTTAACAGCCATGGGATTTGTTGCGCTGACCACGCAACACCATCTGTCTGCTAAAGTTGGCACTAAATTCACTGACAAGGTTGATTGCTCAGTTGGTATGGTTCGCTTGCGGACTACAGACAGTGGAGTTTGTTGTGAGTGCCTTGGGTATAAGGGAGTGCAGTGCTTTTACAGGCAGAAACTCAGTTTTATTTAGCCCTAGAAAAGCAGTATGTGTCCGCATGCAGACGCCGTTTCAGATACATTTACGAGATGAAAGAGGTAATGTGTCAGACTCTTGTCCCACTTTTAAAACAATGTAATTAGATGCACAAAGTCATTGCTTCAATTCCAGTTGCTAGATTTCTTTATTGTCGCTTTTTCCCTCCTAAACTCACATTTCCAGTTGGAGTTATGGGACTGAAGAATTTGTTCTTATAGTCCAACGCGTCCATCTCATAGGCCTTTAAGGAAATTATACGCGAAAAGCATGTAAATTCACTTGGAATATAATATGATTATGTTCAGATTTTGAAGGGAAAATACATTTTAAAGTAGTCTGTACTTTCAGTGTATGTTGTTTTTACAACAAACGTGTCGTGTTATTTTTACCAATATTTTTGCTTAAAGCGAGGTACGGCGGTAGGAGGGGGTGGTAGATCACTGACAGTTTTGACACTAAAAAGTCGAACACAACCTGTTTGAAGTTGGACATTCCTGTTATAGTCCATTCATGTTTATAATTTTAGGCAGAATGAAATGAGCAGTAGTAAATAATACTTTGCATGTTTGACTTTGTTACTTTATGCTAATCCAGAATTACTATTGTGAAGTGGTTATACAAGGTTCATGTAGTTCCCCCTTTTTTCTTCACATGTTCCAAGTGGAGATGCTGGGTTATTGAATTGTTCTGTTGTTTCCTTGTTGAATAGGTTGCGTTTCATGCCATTCTAGGCTTGTGAACATAATTTTATTGCAGACTGCAAAATAAAACCTGACACGTTTTGTAAAATCTGTTCCTCTCTTTAAGTTCATAGCGATGGTTTGAAGTTTTGAAATTATATATATAGGTGGAAGCATTTAAAGAAGTGATCATCATTGGTGTTTTTTCCCAAAATGTAATTGTGAAGCAGACAGTGGGTTTTAAGCATTCTTTGCAGAGCAAAAAGGAATGTTGGGACCTTTTTTTTTGGGAGACTACACTGAAACTTATTGGGCAGTTCTGACTTTCAATTGTGTTTACCCACAGTAAAGTTCATTTTAGGCCATAAATATACTTTTTCATAAACTGTTGATCAAAGTTTACAAGTAAGCCACAAGTAAGCTTAGTAAACTGCCAAAAGAAACAGTCGGGAATTTTGTGTACGACATTTTGGAGTACACCCTTTCCTGTCTTGCTTTAAATGGTCAATGTTTATTGCTGTTTCAGTTTGACAGAAGACAGTGGCCAGTGGGGTGGGAGACAGAGGGGTGAAATGTGAGTGTTAACTTCAGATTATAGTGTATATGTGGGTTGTCATTCTTAAGGAAAATATGACTTCACACCTTAGAAAGTGGGCAGTTAAATACAGTGCAAAATACAGCCGAAAATTTGGTTTAGAGGAACTTGTTGGATGATAATGTGGCTCATTAGAATTGTGTGCCATGTGTTTCAAATGTGAGTGCATGTAATGACAAGCGGAAGTGTGCTGCACACACATGCAGACTTCATTCATCCTTCATATAGTTTTAGTTTAAATGTTGTCTTATTGTATGTAGATTGATTTTGGTACCAGTTATTTGTAAACTTTACAACAATTTCTGTAAAAGTAGCTAGCAAGAAGTTTGACACGTGTTCAGATCTGTATAGAGCACATTAATCTCATTTTGTTCCATTATTCAAAATTGTGCCAACACAGTCTTGTGATCATTGTTTGGGTTCGGTGAAGTCTTCTTGTGTAATCAGTAATTATTGTGGAGTTTGGATGTGACATTTCAGAGGGTGTCTGTGTCTTCCATCATCAGGGATTTGTATGATGAATATTGTTTATGCACATCACGGGCCAGACTGCATGTTGAATGGTGGCAAAGTCAGATTGTCATTGAAGTCCTATCCCAGTGTGGACCACTCATTCCATGTTGTCTGTTATCGATACATAATACTGTTTCATATATTTGTACAGCATAGACGGAATGCCATATCTCTGTTAAAAATGTCAGGGTGCAGCTTTATCTTAATGTTTTTGTTAGCTCAGCAATCCTTGTAGCCTGTCATGCTTGCCAGCACTGTGGACACTTGGAAGTTTATTCAGTGATGTGTCTCTCACATGTTCATCACGCCTCATTTCAGTGGCATAGCCCATCTGTCCAACACACCTTCCCCCCTGACACAGGATACAGTACACATCCGGGACCCTAAGGCTCTTGTCATCTTTCACGGGTCACAAGAAATGGGCGCTCTATATAGTTTCAGTGTCATCTCACTAGAGGCCTGCTGAACGCATCTTGTGGCCACATTGGTTGCCTTCTTCTGCTGTTAGAGTGACCAAGGGCCCAGAGGGCGTCCATTGCAGTGTAGCTTTTCTGCCCGAAAGCCCTTTTGAAAGGCAGAATGGCTATAGTGCCATGGAGAGCTACCAGACACTGAATCCTGGGCCCCAAGTCACTTCCACAGCAAGTGAAGCCGGTCAGTAGAAGATGACATTGACTGTAGGATCCCAGGCATGTCCTGTGTGAATGTGACAGTGTATATGTTAGACAGACTGTCAAGGTGAGATGTAAAGAACACATGCAGCAGGCGCATGTATGTCTTTGCGCCAACCAGAGTCGGTGGTTTGGCGGCTCAGCACCAGATAGCTTCAAGGACATTCGTTAGAGTAGTGGCAAGAACAAGAGGCTACATGGGCCGTTCATGTAGGGAGGCAGTTGAGATCTGGCTGCTTCGCAGTGATATCTTTAAGCTTCATATTGCCCAGCTGTCAACATTATATGTGAGAGAACTCAAAAAACATGGTAATGAAGAACCGCTGAGATAAACTTGATTCCTGATGATCACGTGGTCCACACTGCGACAGAACAATGCTCACCATCATTCCCAGTGTGGCCAGGCTGGGATGAGCTTTGTGTTTAAATATAAAAGATAAACCTGTCCCCATAACAGGCTCTGGAGGCCCCCGTAGGTTGTGAGACATCAAGGCTCCCACATTTTCTCTAGCTAGAGAGTTCACAGATGACAGAAAGATTGTCAGCCTTATGTGGCACCCACAACCCCCAGGAAAATTCCTCGTACTCATTTGTGTGAGAGACGGAGTCGACCCCAGGGCCATAGTGCAGCTGGAATGAAGGATTGGGTCAGTTGAGAAATGGCAGTGACCTTATCAGGAGTCGAACACACTACCTTCCAACGTGTAGCATAGTGCCTCAATCAGCTAGTCTACTGTCACATGACCTCATGCTATAGAATATCTTTGAAATGTCCAGTCCAACTCCACATTGATACAGATGACTGCTTGAGAAGGCAACTTCATTGTATGCTGTCGCTGTGAAAAGCTCTGAATCATTTCATAGTTTTCATAAGATTATGGGAAAGTTTTGAGTCCAGAATTGGCCTGTTTCAGCACAAGACTAAGTGGAGGTTCACTGTAAAGAGAGAATGGACATTTTAGGCTGCTTATAAATACATGCCATAAGTCAATTAGAACTTGGAATTGTGTATGTCATTCCATAAATGAAACTGAGACTGTGGTTATCTCATTGAGATCCACAGAACTGCTGGTGCTTATAGAAGATAATTATCGGTTCTTCAGTGGTAGCTATTTTAAGGGGATAAACGTTCTTATTTTATGGTGGTATGCATAGTTTTAATTGCATCATGGGAATATAACTTTTGTACTAATGTCGTAGTTGTTTCAGGTTGGGTTGTTACAATTATGTGACCACATTTGTGGGCAAATATCTGGCTTTTTCACTGAGTGGGAGAGTATGTGTTGTTCACTTTTGGTGTGTGTGAGAGAGAGAGAGAGATGTATTATTACTTTCTTCATTAAAAATTCAGTCAAGCAGAGGTTAAACTAACGACCTGTTTTTGCTGAGAATTAGGCATGCAGTAATTAACATTGAGGTGACATTTGTGTTCATTTTAGACTGAAATGGAGCAAGCATTCCAAGCATAAGGACATTTTGATGTGATCCTGTACATGATCAGAAAGTTTTGTGAATATAACGTTCTTAACAAAATTGGGGAATCCAGGGATCTGTCAGTATTGATTCCACTGAGAATCTCATTGCACTGAGTGCTATGGTTTATAATTGCAGTGTAGCATTAAGAACACATCTGCTGTGAAGTGGGTCACTGAAATTTTCAGTATGAAATTCTATACAAATGTCTACTGGGAGAATTTTATTTTAAAGTGATCCAATCTGGTCTCACCCACTGCTGAGTAGTACTTTCATCGATTGAAGCCTGCATTTCCACTCATGTGTGCAAGTTTATATGCGACAAGCATTTGCTAAATTGTCTACAAGAAGTTTATCCTGAATATTGATAATGCAGATTGTAACTTAAGTGATGCTTGTTAGGACTTGGCATAATGGTTTAAAGCTTTTTGCTACATGCAGAATGTTGAAGAAAACCTTATGGAAAACAAAAAAAAACTGAGGAAATAACTTTTGAACATGTGATAATTTAGAACTGCAGATTACAAGTACTGAGTTCTGTTTTCACCACACTTCTGGAATTCAAGTACATTTCTCTTCTGGCACATAACGGGAATATATAAGTGGTAGGAGTGTTTGAAGGATGCATTGCATCTGGTATATTACTGAGAAATCATGGACATTTTTGTGTTCCTTTCAAAGAATCATTCTAACTTTGCAGGAATGTTTAGTGTTCAGAAAATATTGCAGAAAGAACAAGTTTTACCATTGAAGCTCTTTTTGTGTGCATACATCATAATGAATGTGAGGCAGAAGTGAGTCAGTATGCAGGTCTTGCAGGGGCAGTTAGTGCAGGGGTGCTGAGTATATTGTGCTGCCTCATGGGAAGGGAGGGTCATGTGGATGTATTGTAGGGCTTTAGTTTTGTTTAAGTCAGTGCTGTCTTTCTTCTCGGAGCCTTTGCCTCCTCCTGTTCGGTGTTTGCTTTAAATGTTTTAAAATCTTTCCTTTTGCTTGGTATGCTTTCTGCCACAATTGGTAATTCCAGCTTCATTTTTAATGCTAGAAAATGTCATCTCCGAATGTTCCATGTAGCCCGATTCAGAAAACTGTAATTTCATGCTGATTATATAGATAGAAGTGTCCCACTTTTGTGTGCATTGTGGTATTACTTTGAACGTTTCTGTTTGCAGTGACTATTATGGCGGAGGTTATAGAGGTGGAGGCTACCGTGGCCGCTCACCGTCACCATATTATCGTAGGCGACGCTATGAGCGTTCTCGTTCTCGCTCATACTCTCCTCGTAAGTATATTTTTCAACCAAGAGGAGAATTTTCATAAGCCTCTTATATTTGGAGCTTTCATCATAGAAGCATTCTTTTAGATATACATTAATAGTAATCTGGGGGCTGGTACAATAGGCCAGAAGTGGCCGCAGTACAAGGTACTTAGTCCTGCCCCACTAGCAATAAAAAAAACATTAATAAATAAACATCATCTTAGTTACCATGCCAAGACCTAATTGTAGCATAGTGTTCAACATATTGAGAAGATCGTCATCTCGAGGAATCTCTTGGTGAAATATTGATGTGTTTACTTTTTTAAAGTGTGAATCATTACATTGTATTTGTGCCCTGTCCTTATTACAGGTCGATATTAAACTTCTAGAACCACGTTGGGGGCTTCGTTTTCACTTGATGTGGACTAACTTCCATTGCATATTCACGTTGTGTCCCCCCAAACGATGGCTGGCAGATAAACAGTAGTGACTGACAGTTTACCACTGTGCTGAATGGAAATGATTTTTTATTTTCATTGATATAAAATGTGTACTGGACAGCCAGTCATCAGTATGATTGTTGAGTTACAAGAATGATGTACCCCTCCCAAAACACGTGTTCTGTTTATTTTAAGGAGAGTAGTACTGATTTGGCTCTTGCCATAAGTAATTTAGGACAAAATTTAATAGTTTAGTTTTTGGATAGTTCACAGAATGTCATTCTCATTAGTCCGGATTTATTTTGTGCTGCACTGTTTTGTAATGTTTTATTGATTTTATATTTCATGTAATTTGCAGCAGATGTCAGACTTTGTGTTCTTAACCACATAGATCAATTGCTGTTTTTGTTTCATTCACATAATTTTTTATTGTCCAGTCACATTTAAATTTGATTTCTTCTAGCATTAGATCTAATGTTGTATCAGTAGAACAGATTAAATTCATTAGTGTTAATACATTCTAATATGTCTTGTTTGTTTCATTTTTGTAAGGTTATGATGAAGAAAGAGGTATTGGATGAAGTTTGAAGTAAAAGAAACAAAAATATGTAGCAAGTTATCTCTGGGGAAGAAACCGAACATGGAACATCCACGTTCAAGTCTTCTTGAAGCTCACATGAGAAAGAATATGATCTGATACTATACCAAACTCAAATAAAGAAATCTCGCCCAAGCCAAATTCGATCACAAGAAGTTGCTGGGGTCAGTTAGAGTCGGAAGAATTACGTTACCATTTTCAAGTTAGTCAAGATGCTAAAAGCGAAGCAACAAGCTTGGAAATCGCGGGAATAGAAAAGTTTAGAAGTGGATAAAGGAAGAAAGCAAAGTGTAAGTTACTGGGGTGGTTTGTTACCTGGAGATATTGGGGAGGGCACCACATTTCTACCTCCCAGTCGCTGTACCTCATAGCTGTTTCCAGTGCTCTAGGATGTAGAGCTCGGTAAAATATAAGAGGATTTAGTGTATATATGTGCCATTAAGTAACAGTTGGCAGCAATGTAAACGTAATTGAAGTAACTACAAGATCATAACAGTTGAAGTAGGATTGCCAATGCTGCAGCTCTGAGGTACCGATTTTAGGGTTGTATTCCATTCAGCAGAAAAGACGCAGTCTGTTACCAGTAGTACATAATCAGTTTGATGGTGGCAATAGAAAGATGCTATTGAGTATAATGAAGAATGGAATATGACTCTGATTTAGGATGGTCTATAAATGAAAGGTACTTATACTTATTTATTGCAAAGTTTAGTGGAATTTAGCGTTGTGCTTATTTCCAACAGTGTTCAGTTTGTTGTTGGAAATGGTTAATGGTATTCACCTGTTCAGTGGTGATCATATTCTTTATCACATTTAAGTACAAGTTACGCTTTAATACCATTTTCTTTTTCCTGTACAGCTGGAAGTTTTATTTGAGCCGCATTCACATGAATAAATCAAAACATATGTTTACCCTCTTCCCTGTGTAAATCTGAACATGCAGCAATCCCTTGCCAACTATAATATTCGGTTTTTGTGTGTATGTGCAAGTGTCTGTCAGTGGCTGCTAGATTGCCATGACCAATTGAATGCAGTCTACACCCTGATACCTTGTTTCTGTAATATTCATTTTAATATTATCCATTTTATGCCTAGGTTTCCTAGGTACACTTTCACTTCAGCTTTTCCAAAAAGTTTATATGCATTTTTGGGGGGGTTTGGTGACTTAGTATCAGGTCAAGTTCTTGAACTCTGGCTCTCCGGCTTGCAACCCCCCCACCCCCACTCTCATAGAACGTAGCTCCCACAGTTGGCAAGGGATTTTAATGTAGTAAGTGTGGCATGTTAAACAGGCCGAAAATTACTTCTGCCATAGTTAATAGTTATAAGGATGTTAAATTACAGGTAGGTCAGTTCTGTTCCTAATAATTATGTCTATTGAAACTAATACAGCATCTTTAAAAAAATTGATATTTTATTCCTTTTGCAGTGTGATTTAACTTGTTTCCTACCCATTTATGTCACGAATTTCTTATAGTGTTAAACTTGCTGTACAGTTTATTTCCTCAAGATTCAGCACAACAAGTTTGCCAAATGTAGTTCTTTGTTGCATGGACTTTCAGTAATTATGCCTGCACTGTGCTGCTTAGTAGAGTCTGTATGGAACTGTGTGTGACGTGGAAGTAGGGCATGCCATAGTTTGGGCACACTATCAGTGTCTAGCGACCAGAGGGGGCTGGTTTCACTCCCATGCCAAATGGGATTTGTGGTGTGCAGAGCAGAGGCCAGGTTCTCTCAAAGTATTGCCAGTTCTCATTCTGCAACCCTATTTATTAATCCTATTAGGTGCGGTGTTTTTAAGTAAGATTCTAAAACCACGTTTGATAAATATGCATTGAAGAAATTATGTCTTGTGGTTTAAGTGGAAGGGGAATTTGTAAGAATGGCTGCATAGACAATTCCAATATTATGAATGTAAGTTTTGTACACACGAATGGCTGCATCAGGTCCAATTGAAATTAACAGAAGTATACTCTATCTGTGATTGCATGCATGTAGACATTTTTTAGTGTAACAAGAATCCATGTTGAACAAGGGTTTATTGTATTTGTTTTCAGTTATAAAATTAAAATTTTTTCTGGGATGACCTTACTTGTGAAAGTGGTTTTGCCCTATGTCAATAGGCAGTCTCTATCAGGATAATGCTGATTTCCTGTGTTTCTCTAATTGTCACTGAGTTATGGGACTTAGTGTCCCGCAGTAGCATGAACTGTACAGTTTGGGGGTTGGAGAAGTAAGGAAAGAGGCACCACTAGTGTGTAATAATCGTATGGAACGTAGAAGTGGCGTTAAGGGTTTTGACAGACTTATAGAATGTATGGTTGTGATAGCAGGAAGACTGTTCATCACTGAAAAGAAATTGTTTTATACATATATTTTTGATGTTTTGAGTGGTGGGAGCCGTGCAAAAGCCGTATTAATGAAATTGAGGGATTTCTTAAACCTAGGACACGGGTAGGCGATACATATATGTGGGCCCAACCGTAACACGTAGCTAAGAAGTTACGTATATTATGAAAGGGAAAAAAGTATTCAGTGCGTGCATGCAATATGCGGAATGCGACTGCAGAGAATGGTGGGGCTCCACGAAAGTACATTAAGTCGAAGGAGTTTTAGGTTATAGACCCATATTGAGACGTAAATTGGGTGGGAGATGCCAATAGTAATTAAGACAAAGTTTTGTAGTCTAGCGGTACAGTTTTTAGTGCAGGTGGCTTAGTTTTCGGTTTCCGAATGGTTGGCACCATTGTGAGCTTTGAAGTTTTCATATTGGTACGACTGATACTTTATTTAGTACATGATTTGATAAGCGATTATTAATATTCGGTTGAGGAAGTTAACTGTATGTAATGTGATATTTGTTGTTGAATTTATTAGTCAAACACTATACAAAAATACTACGCTCGTATGTTGAAAGCAATCTTGTTGGATTGAGATTTCTCACGAGAAAGTGCTGTACGAATACAAACTGCTGGCGGGAATCATCCAAGTGGTACTTAACTAGAGAACTAAAAAGTTTGGGGGTGTGATGTCAACGCTGACTTCCGAATGAATAAAAGGGAATAGATCAGCTGTTTCGGTAAGCAAATTCTTTTTATATTTGTACAATATTCGAGTTTTATCTGCACGAAACTCTAGACAGAACTATTGCTGAGATCTGTTGGCATTAATAAAATTGCAAATTGGACAAGGGGGAAAAGAGTTTCCAAACCAGTTACATATCTGCACGAAACTCTAGACAGAACTATTGCTGAGATCTGTTGGCATTAATAAAATTGCAAATTGGACAAGGGGGAAAAGTTTCCAAACCAGTTACAGAATTCGTTTTTAATCTCCTAATGAAATTGACTTCGCGAGATGTACCTGTAGGTCCATTGAAAGCTCTGATTCCATTACGTATAGCTTAGTGTGAGATTGTTACAAATTTAGGATTCAAGACAAAGGCTTGCTGATGTATTTGAAGGCGATTCTGTGCGTTTTCTACCAGATCGGGCTCTTTCTTTTCCTGACATATATGATATGCTTTGTGGTGTTCATAATTTCGCCCAACAAATTAAGGCAGTGGGTGTATAAAACCGCAACGTTTTGTCCGCTTTCTTTCCGGGATCATATAAACCCATTTCAGAGAGGAAATAGGATTTCATGTCAATTGTCCCATTGCTTTAGTTTATTCTGGATAGGAAATTGTCAGAATAAATGTGAGGTGCCCAACGGTGTCTTAAAAGAGTACCTAATTCTGTCTGGGATGTAACGCCATGTAGTCTGGTAGTTCAACGTTTGCTTGCACGACTTAATTTTCGAACTTGAAGATGGAGGCAGTAACTTTGTGTGTGTGCGTGCGCGCGGGCGTGGCTTAACATCTTGAAAATGACCACAATTTCCGGCAGCAGATCACACTTCCTCCCCTATCCCTTTGTGACCTATTTGAAATATTAGCCCCTTCGTGTTCTGATATTTTCAGGTGGTCACACGGAATTGTTCAACTGAAATTTGAAACGAATTGTAAGGCTTTAAAATTTTCCGGAAGCGAAGTGTTAAGTTTTCATAGTGCTGTTACTGCTTCCCGAAGTGAAGTGTTCTGTTTAATCAGAATATATTGAATTTTCTTTAACAACATTTTTAATCAACACTTATCGTCCAAAAGCATCAATAAAGCTTCGTCTTGTCAGCCACTGATTGTTTGTACAAAGGAAAATTTTCCTATTCGGTTTTTCTTTCAAGAAAAGAAGCTTTAAATCTATTGTACTTAATTTTCGACCGCTGTTTCAGAGTAGCTTATAATACCGCTCGCATGGTAGCTAAGTACTGTTTAATATCTAGTCAGGATGTGCATGGTGCGGAAATGAATATATATTACGGACAAGGAAGGGACATGTGACATGCTACTTCGCAGTCCACGACGGCCCACAAATGAATGAAGGCCTAAGGGGTGGTGCTACCTACAATGATCCGTGATGGCTCACAAAAGTTTCATTACGCATTAAATTCGATTCCCAGTGCCATTTATCGTGGTGTAATCCGCGTTTTCGGATACCTTCCCAGCCTTTGTCCAATAGGAAGCCAATACAACATTGCTCCCTGGCCAATATCTGTCGATAAAGTAAAATTGCCCCCGTGCTTAACGAATTAAGCACTATGTCACGAAGACTTATGGAGGAGTGACTGTGTAGATCCACGTTTTCTTAACATCGGCACTAATCGGAGGTGAGTGGACAGCTTCACGCTCCTGCCGCTTTACCCCCCGGGGAAACAGGAGTCTAGGTAAGCTCGAGAACTAGTCTGGACCACATGTGGCGAGACACACTTGGCCCTTGTGGAGCTTTGGTCCACCGCGTGCAGGTCAGTGTGAATCGGTGTGAATACTCGAGAAACGTGTCGGTCCCCTGGTTGCCGTCGATGTAACGTGTAGTGTGAGTAACTACATAACGGGGCCAGAGTGTTGCCCACAGCCTGACGAACAGGCTCCTCTGATGTATACGTGCGTGGACCTACAAGTACGTGGCGAGAAAGAGTAGGAATACGCTGACGTATGTACTACAATCAACTCAGTACGATTAGTGGTCCGTTAGGTAGAGGTTGCAGTCCGAGGTGTGCGGTAAACTGAAGAAGCTGCTGATACGGGTAAAACTTGAGTTAATTATCAGCTGGTGCTGGCTGTCTGATTTTACACGTCCATTGCCCAACTTGTGCACCTTACGGCTTTCCGTGCCAGTGTTCTGCACTCTTCGTCTCTGTGTCCACAGAAATGTCTTTGGGAGGCTTTCTCCAAACTGTATTTCGTCCAGTATTCAATAGCAGTAGATCATTCAGTGTTGGATTGCCGGCAGATCGTTATAACGAAGAGCGGATCGCTGTCCAGTCTGTTTTAGCCGCTTTCGCAACCTGCCGAGTGTCTATGTCACTCGGAGAGAAAGCCAGCCCACTCATTTACACTCTATAAGATATGACACTATAAATAACGTTTGGTTGTTATATCACTTGATTTTAGAAGCACAAATTAAAATATTTTGTTTTAAGTTGGTTGCGCATTGTTTTTTTTTTGGTGNCTGAGGAACGTACTTCACAGACTAGTGGCTGAGAACTGCATCAGCTTTGGGCGTGACCGGCCGTGACGGCCTGGCAGTTGTCTACAGTGGAACACTTACGAGGCTTACGAGTATGTTGCAGTAGTGTGCAATGAAACGAGCCTACGGTTAACACAGACGAGTTTATTCACTGTTTATTCAAACAGTACATGTTTTGTACCAGCCGAAACAGGGCTGTAAATACACTGCGCGTTTTGGACCTGGCGTTCTCAGCAGAATGCACAGCAAATATGATATAAACAAGGACTAGCTCTATTTTTTTTATTGCTAGTGGGGTGGGACTGCGGCCACTTCTGGCCTATTGTACCAGCCCCAGATGATAGGCGAGGGTGATTGTGGAGCAATTGGTGGCATGAAGATTGGCAGGGGAAACCGAAGTACTCTGAGAAAACCTGCCCCAGCCCCACTTTGTCCACCACAAATCCCACTTGACCAGCCCGGGATCGAACCCGGGCCGCCACGTTGGAAAGCCAGCGACTAACCGCTCGAGCTATGGCGCGGCCCAGGAAAAGCTATAACTGATGGGATATGCCGTACAACTCCGTGTATCCCGTTCAGAGTATGTCGACGTTTCGGAGGAGGAGGTCGCCTCCATTTTCAGGGCTGAAGAATGAGCCAAGCAAGCTACCAGCATGAGGCTTGCTACCTGCTTTAAATTGGCTTCTTGCTTGGCTTACTCTTCCTTCAACTCGAAATGGGGGCGACATTCCCCTCCGAAACGTCAGCCTAATGTGAACGGGCTGCATTGCGTTATATCCCAGAAGACAGAAATGTTCATAGCCACCGCGTCTGGCATAAGGATTAACAGATTAAACTAACTCCGTGAAGCTAAAGACTTCATGTCGCAAATCTTACAGCGCATCCGAGAATCGAAATCGGCCATCATCTCTATAGAACGACATTTCTGTGGCCGTTTCTTATATCCACATGACAAGGCCGCCTCTTAGATTACGTTCCTGTAAAGTTGTTGTTTCTGGAGTTTTCGTTCCATGTCAATTCCCGGCCTTCCCGCGGAACGTAAAGGCCACAAAACCTGAAATTAATAGTCCTGTAACTTGAAGTCTGCTGCAGAGGGTCAGAATACTGTACAGCACAACCCTCATAAGCGCCCTGGTATTCAATTGACTGGTAATATATACTTCAGCTTCCTGTTGCACTGCGGATTCTCACCGTCTCCGTGCAACTTCTTCGATTAAAATTCACACTTCAGAAGCATTAGTCACCTCCTATTATTTGAACACTACATGTTTCGGCTCAAGTGGCGTTATCAGGTATAAAGGCAAAGGTGAAGTCCCAGTGATTAACTAATTAAACACTGTCTCGTGAAGGCGTATGGGCGAATGGATGTATAGATGCAAAATTTCTTGACCTCGGCACTAGTTGTAAATTAGTGATCAGCTTCATGCCCAGGTTGCTTAACCTCCAGGAAACACCCCGGTACAGATTGAATAGGAGGTTGGATGGGCCCCAGAGCCGGTCTGGAGGACGTGGAGAAGAGAAAATTCTTGACCCTACCGGGACTCGACTGGTCGTTCAGCTCATAGCTCCAACTACGCTATCCCGGCTCCAGCCCGCATCAGGTGTATAATTTGTAAACCAGCTTTCCTCTACAATCGGCAGAGTTGCACAAGGACGATAGGCATGATGAAAAGTGCTATTGTGAGTTGACTGATATTTGATAGTGCGATTTCAAAGCGTGGGGGCAAGTATGTAACCCACTTCTCCGAAACGCTGATGTAATGGTCACTCCAGTTCGTAGATAACACACCTAGTTTGAAGTGGAGTCGTTGAGATGTTTGTGTTGGGCTTAACGAAACACAGTTATCTATAGAATAATGAGTATATTTTCATGAAAGTGATATATCAGAAACAATAAAATTGATATAATTTTGAAGTTATCTTATCTGACTGTGCTGTGTAACAAACGTTCCAGATAAATTTTTTGGTTGTTGTGCTTCGTCCTTCAAGCCATAAATAGCCAGAAATTGGTTCCCTTTCCTTCCTCCAGTTACAGGATAAAATGGGGAATCATACTTTGTTAGGCCCTTTGCAAGAGGTACTCAGGGTGCAGGGTTTGAAGAAAGGAAGACCCAGAAACACTGTGATTTGAAAGAAACTGGTTTCATAGACAGTGCCAAGCAGTGGCGGCTCGTAGCTAAAATTAGGGGGAGTGCTGCTCCAGAAAATTTGTAGCCTTTGCTTTAAAATTGTATAAAAGGAAACAAACATGCATAAAAAGAAACTTTATTCAGAAACTTGATAAAATCCTAAAAGAACAAAATCAAACATGTTTTACTTACTTTAACCAAAATTGTTACAGTTCAGGCTTAATATATTTATTTAAAAATGAAATCCATTCTTTTTAACCTTTATATTATGCTCATCGATTGAAAGTCTGTATGCCTCACTAAGTTTCTCCTTAATACTTACGGTTCCTGAAAGTGACAGTGAAACAACATTATTAGCGTGCTTCTTTCACTTCTCATGCTTTTCAGCTTTTTCTTTCATTTTCTTTATATTTCTAAAACCATCTTTTGTCCACGTTACATCACCCCCAAACAGCAAACACGGGAAGCAAAACAGTGCATTTTTTACTTCACAGCCGCAGAGCCAACTTTTCCGTTTGTACCATTCAGAATTAAAGCTACGAATATATTTCTTGTTCTTGCTTATGCCTGGCTGAGATATTTTAACATCAGGCGTTAAACGACCTCTTTCTTAACTGCAACTTTCTCATGGAGAAACAGTTATGAAAACTTAAGCTGTTGAAGTTCACTTACAGTCACAGAACTTATTTCTCGGGGATGCAAGGCCATGGTTAAAGTTTTCTGTTAAATAAAAGAAACGAAAAAAAATGAATAAAATAGAATAGCTGGAAGCAGGATAATAATCTAATTCTACAATTAACTCATATTTTTTAAGCACAACACACGCGGAGTAAAAAAAAAACTACCTTCCACCAGCACGCCAGGGTCGGCACCGGTCGGCACTGTCATTCCTGCAGTGCTCCCTCTCCCTTGCAGCCTCGCGTGTAGCTTCCTATGTGCGCATGCGCACAGTTAACGAACACCTCGCCGCTGGAACTGTGAAACTCACAGTTCCATACAAAGATTTGGCTACTGACATTAAGCTTAAGGATTATACGTATATTGTATTGTACAAGTATAAAGAAAGAATTAAAAAAAAGGACTCATTATATAAATGTTATCGATAATATCAAGTGGAAATTGGGGGTGCTGCAGTTCCGCAGCGCCTATACGCGGGCCGCCCGTGGTGCCAAGAATATCAGAATAATTTTCAAGTATGGCCTGTAGGAAGTGGAGCTGCCATGTTACACGACATCAGTTCGGAGTGTATATCCTCAGTGGGTACATGGAATTTATACAACCTCTTTATTTGACCGTCACAACACAGCAAATATAGAACTTCAAGGACAATGCTCAGTATAGTTCTGCTACATGTTTCGGCCACAAGTGGCCATCATCAGGCAAACACACTTCAACAATCGTACACAATTGAACTGCAGTACGTAAAATTTCATACAATGTTTTAAATCATTTAAGTTAATTTGCACAAGAATACAATAAGTAGGTTATTTAAAACAATAACAAGTCATATATAAAATTAAAATTTGATTGATGTTTAGTAACATCGAATCGGTCGTTGGTTTTACTTTTCATACATTTCTGTCGACGAATAGTAAATTCGAGTTTCTTATAAAATTGTGTAGGAGGTCCAATATTGTTGTGAATTAATTAATGGAATAGTTGGGGCTTCATCATACGGAGAATTGTACGTATTGTATGGAAAGTAATCAACGACAACATGGAATATATGTTATATATTGTCAAACTAGGGTTCCCAGATTCCCCGTTTTCTCCAGATTCTTCCGTTTTTTCACCCAAATTTTGTTCCTCCGTTTATTGTTTACCCGGGGTGGATAATTCTTCGTTTTTTTTTAAGTCCATTGCGAATTATATTTCATGGGTTACATATTATCATAAAACTTCTGTAATCCTTGGAAAATGACTGTTATAGTTTCTTTCCTTATGTTGCATTTCGTGAATGTTGGCAACACTTGAGGATCTAAACCAAAGCAGAGGATGTTGGTGGGCTTGGTGATAGTGAATTTGTAATCCGTTCAACCTTCGCTAGAAAGTCAGTGTCAAGTTAGCATAAATGTGTGAGGACTAAGAAGATCCATCAAAGACTCCTCCACGGAAGAAGCTGAAATTCCAGGCCAAACATAATCAAATATATCTTAAGAAAAATGGGAAGATATGTTTTCGTTGGTTAAGCCGGGACCAGACGAGAACCGGGCATTTTGTACGTCTATTTTAAGATGTCCAGAAAACACTTCAAAGTTTTTTTCGTTGGCTACCGATGCATCAGACAGAAGCAGTCGAAAAATGTACTTCGACCCTTTAAAGGGAGTGCAGAATAAACTTCTAGATTTTGTTGAAACTGCTGGGGAAACGTCTATGGCAATTACTGGTTTGGTGCTGCAGAGCTTAGAAAAGCACAACTTGGATATAAATTATGTGTCTTCTTATTGTGCACACAATGCCAGTGTGAACTATGGAAAAACACATTCCGTATATCAGTTGCTGCGAAGTAAAAACCCAAATTTACTGAAAGCTAATTGCTCTAATCATGTCATACATAACACAATTAAGTTTGCAATTGACAGATTAGATGTTGATGTTGAAAGTGTAGTCTTAAAGATATATAATCACTTCTCTGTCTCTGCCAAAAGAAGAGAAGAGTTAAAATCATTCTTTGAGTTTCTGAATTTGGAGTGGACTGAGATTTTGAGGCATGTTCCAACTAGGTGGCTGTCATTAACACCAGCCATTTCTCGACTGCTTCAGAATTGGGAAGGAATGAAAGTTACTTCAATAGTATTCCCAACTGTCCAAAATTATTATCTAACATTTTCATGAAAGATGACCCAGAGGAAGCAGTGTTGCCTGAAATCTCCTTTAATTTCTTAAGTAATATCAGAAGTCAGCTGGAAATGGTAGATAAAACACTGGAAAGGTCTGACTTAAGTGTACTAGAGACTTACAAACAAATGAAACTTCTCAGTTCTAAAATCCAGCAGAGAAGGAAAGACAACTTTTTTGGTAGCAAAGCAAAAGAACTCATTAATGGATTTGTCTATGCCATTACAGAAAAAGGTTACTGAAGACCTGAACAGCTTTTTTAGCAATATGCTTCAGTATCTGCAAAAAATATATGATGTGAGAGATGACAATCCCTATGCATCCCTTGCAGCATTTTCTCTACAGGAAGGGATTGAGTTCAAAGATTTTGAAAAAGCCATAGAAGTGTTTCAGCTAAGTGAAAATGTTTGCATTGATGACCTGTACGAGGAGTTCACCAGCCATCGATATTACCTCTGCAACAGTGTGAACAGATATGGTGATTATGTAGCAAACTGACTTACATTTTTTCCTTCAGTACCTGAGCATGATGTACCAAATATTTCCAAAGTGGTAGGATATTTGTTTGCATCCCTGGCTCAAATGCTTTTGTGAAGCGAATCTTTTCATTCACGAAAAGTAAGTGGAGTGACACAAGAAACAGATGCTCAACAGATTTAATCAAGGCAGAACTCCAGGTGACAGTGAACTATGAAAGCAAGTCCTGTTCAGAATTTTATAAATTTTCAAAGGGTGATGTTCAGTTATTAAAAAGTGCTAAGAGTTCAGTGAAATACAATTAACAGAATCTGATCGACCAGCCCTTGAAAGTTATAAATATGTAGTATTTAACCTTTGTGTGTTCAACAAATGTGTGCTAGGTAATATTTTGTGCATTCTATAAATATGTAATAGGGCTATGTAATATTTGTTTTGTTCTATAAATGTGTAGTAGGCCTATGTAATACAGATGTGTAGTAGCATTTTGTAAGTTATGTAGTATGTTGATTATGTATATTTTATATCCTGTTAGTTGTGAAAAATGTCATTATAAACAAGCAACGAGACATCAGTCCTTTTTTTATTTTACAAAATCTGGCAACCCCATGTCAAACACATGTGAAGTAGTCCTAAGATGACAGCTCTCTTTCGTACAGCCTGTGTGAAAAGTATTTCAAATGAAAGTTGTGGAGGGAAGAAAGTACATTTTACGCCCAGTATGCATACCATTTTTCACGATAAACAAAGAAATGTAATATGTGAATTTCCTGATTTGTTGTACATTGTGTTTCAGAAATGTCGACGGGCTACAAGGTTTTCAATGATTGCGTCCATGGACACATCAACCTACATCCTCTTTGTGTTCGGATAGTTGATACTCCGCAATTTCAGAGGCTGCGCAATGTGAAGCAAGTTGGGCCTGTTTACTTTGTTTATCCGGGAGCCAGCCACAATCGCTTTGAACATTCACTAGGGCAAGTCTGTTCAAATACCAGTTCAAAATCATATCCTAAGACTTGGGTCTGAAAGTCTGGTATATCTAATTTAACTGAACTATGGTGGTCATTTAATTCACTGCTAAAAAAGTACCACCATGGAGCAGAGGCCCTCCTGAGAATCTGTTGTCACCCAACTAGTTAAGGAATTCCTTGAATTTTATGGAACCCGAAATTTCTTTAACATGTTCAAAACAGGCTGCCATTGGTTTCTATCCCAAGCCAGATGAGTCCAGTCCACTAATACTATTGTCCCATCTATTCCTAGGATTTCAAAGTGGTTCCTTCCTTCAGGAAGCACGTCATGTGCTTTTCTGGTGTTTCCCATGCATGCTACATGCCCTGCCAAGATCATTCTTGGATTTATGAGTCTACTATTTGGTGAGGAATGCAAATTAAGAATCTCCTCATTATGAAACTACCTCCACCCTTCTTTAACTTTCTCCCTGTCTTTTTCTCCGGTTCTACAGCCCTTTGGACCTTGGCCACTTCCTGAGTTTCTTAATGCAATACAGTCAGTAGGACTTCTTGGATGGCGGCTCAGTCCCTCTCAAGGCTGCTACCTACACACACAACAAGACAAACAGAATAAACACACACAGACGTCCATACCTCGAGTGGGATCCGAACCCATGACTCCAGTGTTCAAGCAGGCAAAGAAAATTCATGCCTTAGACCACGTTGCCACTGTAATTGGCTTATCTCTGTTGGATCCATATATTTTCCTCCCTCTGTTCTCAGTTTTAGTGTTTATGTGTTCAGATAGCAGACAAGAAGACAGAGGATTCTAAACCTAATGATAGCAAGTGTTCTTCAAACTTAACCTGGTCTTAATTTTTTATTTGTTTGAGTCACTCTCAATTATCTGAACTTGGCCCCATTTTTTAAGGATTTGTTATCTGTCTTTATGTTACTTATATAATTCTTGCCTGCATTCTGGTGCATTTGATTTCAAGTAAGATGAACTTTACTAAGTGAGATAGATGTCTGTGAAGGGATGTTTTGTTACCAGACATGTGTTAAAGTGGTGCATGGTAAACGCATCTGTTGCCACCACGGCATGGCGTACATTTAGGTTGTGCATGGAGGATATGGCCTCCAGATTTGAATTGTGTGGATCCATGCATTTCCCTCTCACATGGCTGGGAAAGGTCTGGGTTGTGATGCCAACCATTTTTAATGTTTCAGGGTATGCCATCTTGCTGGGAAAATGGTAGATGCACTCAGAAAAAGTTGTAATGATCAGAGTATTGTCACTGATGATGAGAAGTTGTGCCTGGAAATAGCAGGTCTGTGTCATGATTTGGGCCATGGGCCTTTCTCTCACACATGGGAGAAATTCATAGACGTCGCAAGGAACAAGGAAGGCATGTCTGAAACCAGTGGTGCAGTTGTCAGTTGGAAGGTACATGTGTGAACTATGCAATAAAATGATCCTTCACTAATTTTATTATACATTTTAACCTAAATAATTATGGTTATTTATATTTATATGGACCAAAGAGGGATGAAGTGACGGGAGGTTGGAGAAAACTGCATAATGAGGAGCTTCATAACTTGTACTCTTCTCCAAGGATAATTAGAATGATCAAGTGAAGGAGGATGAGATGGGCAGGGGATGTAGCACGAATGGGTAGAGCAGGAATGCATATAGGATATTGGTGGGAAAGCCAGAAGGAAAAAGGCCAAGACATAGGTGGGTGGACAATATTAAAATGGATTGTAGAGATGTACAATGGGATGGTATGGATTGGATTGACCTGGCTCAGGCTAGGGACCAGTGGAGAGCTCTTGGGAACATGTTAATGAACCTTCGGGCTCCATAAAATGCTGAGAAGTTCTTGTCCATGATATGTATATTGGCCGTCTTGTAGTGCACTCAATTTCACTTCACTTCACTACATGTTTCGGCATCACTGTGCCATCTTCACGTGTGTTATTTACATCAAGCTATTACATTGCTTGCCATCATGTGTCGTTTACAAAATTGTCTAAAATGCACACTCTTCACTAACTATAATAAAATTTGTATATATCAAAATTTGTTAATATCCATCATTTTACACGTCAGAACTCAAACTCGCGTACTATGTTATTCATCCACTATGGGAGTCATTCATCCCATATTTTGTGTGTATTGTGTCTTGTGATGTGTCCTTTTTTGGCTGCGAGTGTTGTGGTGATGGCGAAACATGTAGTGAAATGACATGTGAAATTGAGTGCACTACAAGATGGCCAGTATACATATCATGGATGAGAATCAGTGCAACAGGACGCTAAAATACAACATTGAGAAGTTCTTGATCGGCTGGACAGTTTGCAGCTTCTCAAGAAGGGCTCAGCTTCATGTGCGAGTGATGTACAGTAGTGAAGAGACCCATTTGCATCCCCCCCTCCCTCTGGAACTGTGGTTCAGTACCTGTTACAGCCCCCATACCTACAGACATGGATGCACCTTGGGCAAGGCTAAACAGGGTTGGCTTTGTAGCCAAATTCTCTATGGGTATTAGGGTGAACTGTAATCTGCCAGCTGCATTATTTGCTGTTCCTGTGGATCAGGGACTTCCTCAAAGTAGCAGCCAGTTACTGCCTGTCAGCCTGTCATAATGTAACTTTGTCACGTTTTAATGAGATCTCGTCTCCTTTCCCAGCATGAAGAGGGTTCTGTTCAGATGTTTGAATATCTGTTGGAGCAAAATAAGCTGCGTGATGCATTGGTTGAAGCTGTACCAGAACTGAAAGACAAGGCAGTGGAATTTATAAAGGAGTTGATTAGAGGCAAAGGAACACTCAAGAGCGATAAGAAATTTCTGTATCAGGTACATCTCCATATACTATGTGAATTTGTTATAAAGTTTGTGTTTGTATTGCATTTGAGAATGTAATAAGTCTGCAGGTGGTGATATTGCATGGGAAATACTGTAATGTTTTTCATACTCAGGTTCCCTCATGACATGGTGTCTATCTCAAGTTTCTGCTAAATGTGCATGTTAAAATGAAATAATAGCAATGCATCCTAATATATTGGTAATATTTGCACTAATGTGCCATAGAAGCGGTCAGAAGGCACTTAGCTAAGCCTCTGCTTTGAATAGAATAGGCTCTTTATGACATTTACTTCTGGTAGACCTTTTATTTATAATTTGTTTTGTTCTTTGAAAATCAGTTTGGAATTAGCTCTTGTAAGGGGACATGTGGTAGCGTAGTTGGTTGAGGCACTATGCCACAAGCTGTAAGGGTGCACGTTTGGTCTCTGATGAGCTCATAGGATTTTTCAGTTCACCCAGTCCTTCTAACTGCACTATGGCCCTGGGGTCGACTCAACCAGCAATTTTCCAGGCAGGTGAAGGTTGGCTGATGCATAAGGCCGACAACCTCCCTGCCGTCTGTGAGCCAATTTTATAGAAAATGTGGGAGCCTCCATATCTCACAACCATATGGGCTTCCATGACCTGTTACAGGGAAAGCTTTACATTTTTATTAGCTTTTATATGCTGCTCACTGCTGGTCCCTTTTCTGAGCCAGATGAATCCATTTGGCATCATGACAATCCTGCTTGACATATGGATTCAAGCGGTGAGGTCAGGAAAGAGTCTGTAAACTTTTGGTCTAAATAAATTTAGGGATAAGGGAGGCTGAAGCTAGAAGTGGTCCTCCTAAAGAAGGCAATGTCATTGTACTGAAAGTCTACCATCATCCTTGTTTCAGATAATATCCAATAAAGACAATGGCATCGATGTTGATAGATTTGAATATTTCCTTCGAGACGGTCGTCAGCTAAATATTAGTTCCTCATTTGACTATAATCGTCTCCTGGAATTCTGTTATGTGATTGAAGTTCATGGAGAGAAATGTATCTGCTTTCGCAATAAAGAGAGGCACAGTCTCTATGAGATGTTTCAAGTTCGAGTAAATCTCTACCATAAAGCCTACTGCCATCATGTTGCACAGTGCATTGAGCAGATGTAAGTAACATGGAGGGATGTACCGTGAACATGACATTGATCTTGATTTGGTTGTACAAGAACAAGAAGAAGAATAATGATACCCGAGATGGTTCTTTTTCCTTTTTGCAGGGTTATTGATGCCTTCGTAGAAGCAGACAGAAAAGGATACAAAATTCGCGTGTCAAATGACAAAGTGTATGTAAAACATCCAGACACTGTAAGATTTGAGATTTTCACAGTGGTGACTATGAAGAGTTCCGTCTTCTGGGATGTGGTGCTATGTAGATCTTGTATGAACAAAGCGTCACATCTCAGAAGACGCCATTCTTTGTCTAGACACTCTGCTGTGATTAAGCTTAGGATTTAGAGTTATTTATAAATTCCAGTCATCTGCTGATCCAGTTAATGATTCAGAACAGCATACTTGTTGTAACATTTCTATTTTACTGTCATCTGTAACTTCCGTTTAGTCATCTTCATCTTCCCCCTTCTCAAAATGCGTCTTGATGTGTTTATGCTTCTGCTGCCCAGTCACATTTTGTTTGGCCTGTATTTATGCTTCCATAGGACTGAAAAAGAGAAATATATTTAGAAGTGCTACGGAACATAGCTTTGTATCATGATAACATCCCAACCTTTTTTGAGAGTTATAAAAAGAATGACCAAGTAAATACAGATTGTTCTATGCTAAAGGAATTGTGAGAAGCAACTATAAATTTATTCATCCACTGACCACTGGTCAATATGAGCCTGGTCAACAGACAGCCAAGTTGTACCTGTCTAATTGGTTGTGTCTAACCTGCAGAATTGCCAGTTTGCTGTGGTTGTGATGTTACGAACGAATAGTGCTGTTATATCAGGGAAACAGAATGCACTTCATTGGCCTTGGAGCTCATATCAGTTATAGATGAATCACTATTTCAGAATATATCTGCAAAAAAGAATGCACAGTTTATGTTTAATGTATGGTGAGAATAATGCGTCTGCTTTGCTTGCTTGGTGTTTCAGTGATTTTCCACATTTCATTATTTACTAATACATAGATGTCTCTAGTTGTACTGATAAAGTTATGTGCTCCCATGCACTTTCTATTCAGATACCAGCTGTCTGAGGCACACTGTCACAGTGAGGCACTGAGTCGCATGACAGACCACATCTTCTATGACATTCTGTACAGTACAGAGGAAGATTATGAACAAGCGAGGGAGCTGCTTCATCGTATCCTGAAGAGGGACCTGTACAAAGTTGTGGCGTACAAGAACTTCTCAACCAAACTGCTGAAGGAGAAGGTTTACATGACTCTTTATAACCCAACATCAGTTCAGAACTAGGGAAGTTAGCAGCCATAGCTCAGGGAGTTAGACTCTGCCTTCTCACTACCGATTGACTGCATGAGAGATTCATGGTGGATAAAGTGGCACTGGAGCAGGTTTTTCTCCAAGTGCCATCAGTTGTCCCCTGATAATCACCATTCCACCGTTGCACACTACTCATTATCACCATTCCCTGAAGTGTTCTGTAGCCCTATCAGTCAGCATGTTGTCACATCCTTGGTAAATAAATTGAGGCTTCAAGTCACATGGCTGATTAGTGTGTAAGGAAGTTAGAAAGGCTTTTTTTAAGTAGTGTAGGGAACGCAGTAATAGTGTAGCAGCTGTAATAATCATTTTAGTGTAGATAGAGCAGCAGTTTAAACTTTTCTGACAGCACTAATATTAATTTGCATTTAATAATACTTCAAACAAAATGGTACCTGTAACATGACGAGGACCGTAAAGATGATAATCATGATTATTTAATCCGTCTTGCAGTGCATACATTCATTTATCTCCTTCTTTCCCTCGCACTACATGTTTCGGCATAATAATGCCATCTTCAGGTGCTTACTTGTCCACGTCAAACCAGTTCATTGCATGCCATGTTCACACATTAAAATAACTAAAATATGTATCTATCATATACATTGTCAAACGTTAAAAGTATTAAAATTGTTCAGGATACCACATCACTACGTCAGTCACGCCCATTCTCCTTTGTTGGAGCACTCCTTCACTATCTTGTGTGTTGTGCTTTTGTTGTGTCGTGCTCCTGCGACTGTGTGTGTTATACTGTTGGGCTTCCTGGGTATGTGTGTGTGTTCTGTCTTCGTTTTGAGTGAGTTATGATGTT